TACACCAGACCGTATAGAAGTGTACACCGATGGTTCTGCAACCACAGATGACACTGATATCGGCCCGTGTGCGTGGGCTTTCGCTGTTTTTGCCGTCGTTGATGAAGCGCGGCTACTGGTTGGTCATGCATCGGCACCCGCTTTTCCCGCTGACAGCATCTTTCATATTGGCGAATCCCAAGATGATGCCCTCACAGCTGAGTTGCTTGCACTCTGCTGGGCTTTAAGTTGGACCGCCCAACACGGACCTGCTTATGGTGTTCCGGTTGAATTCTTGTATGATGCCTTGGCTGCGGGAGGAGGTGCTTTTGGAACCACGACGCCAGTTGGATCAGGAGAGCCCTCCCCATATCTGACTTTGGCTGGTTTTGTTGTTGCACTACGACAGTATGTAGCCGAGCTCATCACTGTTACACATCGACACGTTCGAGGACACTCGGGATGTCTAGGCAACGAACTGTGCGATGCTCTTGCCAAACATGCCCGAATTTTCCACAGGAGGATCAATCCTTCTGTTTACCCACATGGCCCAGCAAGTGGGCGAGGCATCCTTTCCGTGACTGGGCCTGGGCTACCTTGCCGGGTATATCCGACCTTCCTCAGTTGTACTGTTTTGGCATCGAGGCCAGCATCAGTCAAGCACATGAGGTCGTACATACGTGCAGTCCCACTTTTGGTATTTCTGATTGCCACCTTCCTGCGACGCACATCAGCTGTACTCTTTCCTGCGTGTCCCTTAACGTCCTTACTCTGCGAGAGCCAAAGGCCAACAGGCTTGGCGACCCGGCAGGACTCCAGATTATTGGTCGTAAAGACATACTCAAAGCCTCGCTCCAATCGGTTGAACCACTTTTCATTGGGCTGCAGGAAACACGTCTACCTGAGTCAGCTATGCAATCCGACGCGGAATTCCTCATTTACAACTCAGGTGCCACTGAGTCAGGCACTGGAGGCTGCGCGTTATGGATTGCAAAACGCCTGCCTCTGTATACTGAAGGGGAACGTCCCTTTACTGTCCAAGCCAATGATGTTACAGTTGTCAGTATGTCTTCTCGACATCTCACTGTCAACCTCGTGACCCCCCGTCTCCAACTGCAGATTCAGGTGCTTCATGCGCCTTCAGCTTCCTCGGTCCCCATTTCCGAGTGTCAGTCTTTTTGGAATCAGCGTGCGTGTGAGCTCCTCCATCGCCCGGACGGAGCTGACTTCTTAGTACTTTGCGATGCCAACTCTCGCCTCGGAGACTGCACATCTGAGTTTGTCGGCGACCAGGGAGCCGAACAGGAAGGCCCTGCAGGCGAAGTCTTCCATGCCTTCCTTGTCAAGGTTGGTGCCCTGGCACCATCGACGTGGAGCCAATGGCATAGTGGCAGTACCACAACCTGGTGCTCGCCTTCGGGAACCTGGTCCCGACTCGACTACATCCTAGTACCAGAGTCCTGGCGAACGGCTGTTCTTGTGTCTCGTACCTTGGAGCAGGTAGAGTTGCTGCAAATCAGGGAAGATCATTTGCCGGTTCATCTGTTTTGCGCTTTCACCCGCGCTCTCCCTCCTGCCTTCTACCAAACCAGCAAAAAGTGTACACTGCGTCCGGACAAAGACGGGTTGTCCGCACAGATCCTTGCTGGTTTTTCTGCGGCAGTACAGCCCCAACCATGGAGTAGTCCTGTGGACGAGCACTACTCTCAGCTCATTCAAGGGTGGCGAGCCTTCGGCAGCTCTCTTGCAGACACTGCGGTGGCAGCCCCGCGTCAGCCATATTTGTCTCAAGGCACACTTGAGCTGATTCAGGAACGGAAGACATTGCGCCCTGCCCTCAAAGCCGAAGCCACTGAGCGACGTCTTCGTTGGCTCATTATAGGATTCGGTGCTGTTGTACTGCATGGGAGAGGAGACTCCTGCAACACATGTCAGCTCGAACTCGCTGATCAGTGGTTACGGGCTGTCGACCGAAGCGAGGCAATCGTCGTCGCCAATTATCGGCGCACTGCCTTTGCGCTTCGGCGTGCCGTTGCTGCCGACAAAGTTGCGCATGTCCAAGTCATTGCTGCCGAACTTGCTGACCGTACCATACAGGATTCCAAATCCCTGTATCGAACGCTTCGCAAGGCCTTCCCATCCGCCAAGGCATCCAGGCGCGCATCTGTACAAGCCCTGCCGATGCTCCAACTTGCAGATGGAACATTCGCGACTACCACATCTGAGAGAGCAGAAGCATGGCGTGCACACTTTGCATTGCAGGAAGCAGGTACCCTTGTCACCCCGAGCGAATATGTCGAGGACCTCCAGCACTCCCGCGTGCTCCCTTGGACCCTTGACATGCGGGTGCCCCCTACCCTTGCCACTGTTGAACGGCTCATTTTATCGGCCAAACGGGGAAAAGCGGCGGGGCCGGACGGCATTACCGCTGAACTCCTAAAATTGGATGCCACGGTTGCCGCCAGGCACCTACTGCCAGTCTTTCTGAAAGCCACCCTCAGAGCCTATGAACCGGTTGCTTTTCGAGGTGGCGATCTCTGTTGTTTGGCCAAGCGTGCCAGTGGAGCCTTGACCTGTGAGGCTTTCCGCTCGATACTTGTCTCATCGGTTCCAGGCAAGATACTGCATCGCAACCTTAGGGAGGTACTCAAACCCCTCCTCGTCGACAGTCAGCCTACATTTCAAGCAGGTGTTGCGGCAGGTCAGGGCATTGAGAGCGTCGCCCTTGCGGCGCGTACCTTCTTTGCTATGCATTCTGGCCGACGGTCCTTTTCGGCGCTTGCGTTCTTTGATTTGCAAGCAGCGTTCTATAGCGTACTGCGTCAGACGCTGGTGCCACATGCCGAGGATGACACCAGCCTCTTACGGCTTTTCCATGGGTTGCAGCTGCCTGCAGAGGCTATATGCGAGTTGCGGGACCACTTGGCCTCCATGGCACAGCTTCCGCTTCTGGGTGCTTCCTCCCACACCGTTGCGCTCGTACAAGATCTATTCCGTGGGACTTGGTTCAGACTTTCAGGTTTCCCGGCACTCACCTCTACCAAGAAAGGTTCGCGCCCTGGCGATCCGACTGCCGATCTCCTCTTCGGGTTCAGCCTCGCTGCTGTTTTCAAGGCGGTACAACGCCGTCTGGGTGAGGCCAGTCTTCTTCCAGACATGCCGTGCCCTCCGCGTCCTGACTGCATAGATGTGGCTGGTCCGGTCGAGCTAGGACAACCAGCTTGGGCAGACGATTTTGTCGCTCCACAGACTGGGCCTACCGTCGCTGAGTTATTCTGGCGCACCAGCGCTGCCATCTGCATTGTTGTTGATTACGCCACGTCGGTTGGCATGTCCATCAAGTGTGGACGCGACAAGACAGCTGTGCTGTTCCCACCAGCTGTCCTTCAAGACCCCACTGTGCCCATCGAGCATGATGACCAGGGTCAGCCGTGTATGCTTCTTGTCAACCGCGTCACACAAACCTCCTACCACGTCCCGCTTGTCGAATCTTACCGGCACCTCGGAGGTATCGTTACTTCTACGGGCACGCCAGTACCTGACCTACATTTCCGACATGCACAAGCGTCCGGGACAGTGAAGCCACTCCGAAAGAAGTTCTTTGGTGCTAGCGAATATCCACTTGCCACCAGGGCTTATATACTGCGTTCCCTTGTCATCTCGAAATTCGCGCACTCTGCTGCAGCACTCATGATTACAGTTGCGTGTCATGCTCGAATTTGGGAACAGCACTATCTCTCGTTGTGGCGTGCCTTGTTTCGACGCCGATCAAAATCGGGCCAGAAGCATTGCTACCAGGTGCTCCATGAGGCGCAAGCTGCCTCACCCACTTTAGCCCTTGCCAGCGCACGTGCTGGGTTCCTCGCGCGCTTGTTCAAGCATGGCCCAAAGGAGCTGCTTGCGCTTTTGTGGGACCATTGGACACTGCACCCCCGCACTGCCTGGTTGTCTCAGTTGCGGGACGATGTTGTGCTTGTCGCGTCATATCTTCCCAATGTGATCGGAATAGTTGGGTCAGATAAGGTGTTGGGCCTCCTAGAAGCTTATGGCCAGGATCGCTTTTGGTGGCCTAGACAAGTCAAGCTCGCCACTCGGCTCTTCCTAGAAGATCTTCAAGCGTGGCAAGCCGCGACAGCTCGATCAGGGAGGTCCCCAGTTGCCACCCTTCCGGATACGGATACATACGGCTGTTACCTTTGCCAGGCCTCTTTCGCACTTCGGAAGCACCTACATACGCACCTTGCTAAGGCACATCAAATCTTCTCTCCTGCCCGTCATTATGCCACGGGAGAAACCTGCAATGCTTGCCAGAAGGTGTTCCCCAACATCCTTCTGACACAACAGCACCTGAAGAGGTCCGACTCCTGCCTCCTTCGCTGTCTTTATCTGCATGCACCGCTTACACGTGAGCAGTTCCGGTCTCTTGAGGCACCGGTTCTCTTGCAGAAGCGGAAAATCCGACAAGGCAGCTGGAGGCACTTCCATGGTCTTGTTCCGTCCGCCAGGGCCCCCATCGCCTTTGGCCCTCGGATGCCCACTACCACTGAGAAGCTTTCTGGAGTCCAAGTCTGGGGAGATGAGTCCGACATTCTCTCCACCCTCTCACGTGGATTTCATCCAGAGCCTGCACATGTAGTCTGGATTACAGACTTTGTACAGGGGCGTAGCAAAGAAAGTGCTCGTACCACAGCACATAGGTTCTGGATGCAGCGTCCACAGGTGCCGCAGGTCCTCACTGTCTCACCGTCCTTGAATTTATAGCATGATTTTTGGGACGCACCACATAGTGTCACAACACGTGACCAGTGGATCGAGAGTCCGCACAGAACAGAACAGAACAGAATATACTGGAGAAATAGGACAAAGACAGGAGTCGCAAGATCACGGCCAACGAGGACAAAAGCGCTATTAACCACGAGTCTGCAATAAGCTCTTCATCCAGGTATCGACAGATCGACAAAACCTCTTCATCCAGGTATCGACAAATCGACAAGAGTTGGGCCTAAGCCGAACCAAGATGCTGCTTCTGTAGGCGGTGGATGAGAACCTGTCACGACACTCACGGACAAGGATGTCCCAGAAGCGCCAAATGAATGTATGGATTGTGCCGTACAGGCAGTACTGTAATGAGACCGAAGGACTATGCCCTCCACCGCCGCTCATGCTCGATGACTTAGCCTGTGGACAACCTCACTTCAAACCGCTGGAGTGGTCAAAATTGAAGAGTGACTGCCACTAACTTTTCAGCACCATCATAGTAGTATTGATCACCTTCACCATCACCCTCATCCGCAGCATCATCGTCTATCCGCGGCACCATGATAAAGTGGACGTCGATGCTCCGCGCCATGCCCTTCAGGCGCAAACAGCCATCAAGGAACTCCTGCCCGAGGCGAGGGGAAACATGCTTCTGCGGAGACATGCACGGTTAGTCACGGTTGTCAGACTTCTTGTTGTGGATACTATTACTACCAGGTTACTACCAACATTACTACCACTCACACACCCGGGAGCAAGATATCGACTGGTAGGAGGCCCCTTCTGTCTACGATCCTTACTACTACTTACCAATCCTACTAGCATCCTCATGTTTCTCAATTGCTAGTATCACTAGTATCAGCCAAAAGACGGCCAAATTGGAAAGCTCTCGAATTTGTTTTTACGGAGGGCATAGCTCATCAGGCCTGATGGAAGCTTCAAGAATAAGCAGAAGCAGTCAAGCTCCCAAGCTTTCCGTCATGCGCAAGGTCTGAAGATCCCTGTGCCGTGCTGCTTAAGTTGACATACATTGTAATGCAAAACACTGCCGGAATTCCCGAGGAGAAACTCTTTGCTGTAACCTTACAGCTTCACCGAGGGACTCGGTTTATTACTGCTCGGCAGACAAGACAAACTGAGCATTCCAGCAGGTAGTCAGATATCATTTTTAAAGACTAGAAGACAACCATTATATAACAGAGCACAGACGATCCTAACCTCTACTCTTGCATATCGAATGCAGGTCATCCTAAGCTCTACTCACTGCATATCAGTACTCAGTACTAAGGTTACCAAAGATGCCAGTCCGCAGGCTCCAGCACTGAAAACAAGCAACCCAAGAACTTGGACAGCTGGCGTGTCCTCAATGTCAACATGCCCCGACCTAAGTCTCGCACAGGGTATAGAGTATAGGATGTCTTGTTTGGAGATTGCCCCCCCTTCCCGCCCAAAACCCCAACTAAACCCTGAGCCCCGACGCTCAGAATCCAGGTCTTGTTTTCGACTTGGGGCTGCAAGGGCTGCGGATGTGGAACCCGAAGTTCGCGTGAACTGTAGTGCTTCGGAGGCTTCAACTCAATTGTTAATGGTAACCCTTAAAGTAACCCGTATGGCAACCTTTACACGAACCCTTAAAGGAACCTTTACAGGTTCTGGATCGAGGACCGAGCAGTGAAAGGTTCGGGCAGCTCTGAGAGCGTCTCAGTAACCGCGACATTATACAGGGTTTAGGGTTTTGGGTTTAGGGTTTAGGGTTTAGGGGTTTAGGGTTCTGTATTGTCGTTTAATACAATACGAATTCTTTGGATGCATAGAACACAGAGTGATTTCAGCTTATGCGTGCATTCCCCCTGGTCATCATTAGCAGCTGCGGTGCTGCTGCACCTTCCTTTAACTTGCTATCGTTTTATCCGTGCTACCAGATCCCACAGCCAGTTCTTCGTGTTGGGAGGCTCCCGTCAAGAATGGTAGAAGTGGCAAGCGATGGAGCTGTACGGCTGTAGGCGATTGCACAGGGTGTGCCGGTGGTTCACTGTGACGAGGTGTAGGGTCATTGTGTGCTTGTAGGAAAGTAAGCTAAAACCTCACAGAAACAACCATCCAGCGGGCGCCAAGACACGTATCCTCACCCAGAACCTACTTCATGAACTTTCTTCTAGAGTCTTAGGTCCTAGATTCCGTTAGACGACCCTGATTGTCTGCCAAACACGTACTGACTGCGCCGGAGATCAGGAGTAGGTTAGGAAGAAGTCGGAAGCAGGGACGAATCACAATCGGGTCACATGGTTCGTGGTGGGCCGAAGCTAACCCCAACGGGAGAGACCGCAGCACAGCGACGGTGGCCGAATGGTAGGGTCACAATCACCACGGCAATGTGCTGGCGATGCTTGTTCGTAAGGCCATCCCCCAACCCTGCACCCCTGTACCCTGGAGACTGGAACGTCGTAGTAATGGCCTCTTCTTATCATGCTCAGCCTAACGTTGTACTACGTTGAAGATGCTTAAACTCATGACGCTTGTGACACCCGTGATTAAGACCTCGCAGTGTCATGACATGTAGCTCACAGTACCACGATATCTGGGTTGCAAGGGAGTACATTCATGCTGCCATTTAAAACATGATTGATGATGACAGCCCTAGCTCCGAGTTTCGGAACAGCTACTCGCTCATCTCTGCAGCAACGCGGCGCATCCGAGTCCAGAAGAGAAAACAGGCGAACGCAGTCGTGTGCTTCGAAACCTCAGGTTTGTTGGCATTATAAGTAGCCCTTTGCACTACGACCATAGGCAATTGGAGTACCCGATTCCCAGTATGGACTAGCTATGACTAGCTCTTATCTCTGCCATGGGCCTGGGACTTTGATGGGTTGGTGTCTGGGACTTGAGATCTCACCGGCTCTGTTCTTGAGACTTCGGAGGCTGGTAGAGAAAGAAGGCAGAGCGTGTAAGACGAGTCAGAGTTTAGACAACAAGCCAAACATGACCCTCACCTGAATTTTAATTAACCCCCTTGGTACAGTGGCTGTTTCGATCTTTGGGACCCTGACTTCCGACGACTACATCGACTACGAAACATGCAACAATCATGCCGTGGTTTTGCCTTCGCTGCTACTATGTCCTAACAGTGACGCGAAATCCCGTGGCGAAGGCGACTGTGACGAAGGCGACTGTTCCGGCTTGGACGGCTTTCCTTAGCATCGTCTTGTGCATTTGTGCATATTGCCGCTGCCACCAGTCTAGAATCAAGGTATATGGCGAAATAATGAAAGCCAGCTGCTAACCCTCTTCCGGAACTCCCACCGATCGGATAGGAGCGTCAAGCCAAAGTCGAAGTTTGATGCCTAGGGCCTGGTATCTTGCAATTTAAGCTCCGGGCGGAATGTCAGACTGCAGGAAGATAATCCCTAAACCCTAAATATAGGGGGGCTGCAAAACATTGCACCAACTGCTGAGACTTCCTCTACACGATGTCAACATACAGTTGTGCCTCGGGCTGACAGGCCGCAGAAGTTATATGGAAGTTTCCGAGAATTAGGGGTACCTTATTTTGGGGTAATAAGGATCCTACTATTTAGGGTCCTATATCAGGGTCCCCTAGTTTCGGAAACTCCCATGTAAAGGACCGGTGTTTGCGAGACACCGCCCAGGGTTCGTGTCGGAGGTAGCTGCACCCAGGGGAGTGGTCGCAGACAGGACTGAATGGCTCAGGCAAGTCGCCCAGGGCTGAGAAGTATGCCGACATCTTGGGATCCTCTTGGGCTTCCAGTTGCTTTCGGGCTTCCGATGTCGGTGTTTGCAGGTTTGGGGCTCGGCGCATGCCCTTTTATGGAATTCTTTCGGGGTTCGAGCAGTCATTGCATATCTAGCGGCGTGCCTCTGCGATATTCCTGCTACAGACGTATGAAGTCCTTCACCAAGTGCTGCATCTCTTCAGCGGTGAGGGTGCCTGATGCCTGGAGCTTCCAGACTTTCCACGACAACTGGGACGGGACAGTCTGAGCGTTGCTGTCTCGGTCCTCCTATTCAAGAGCAACTGCAAATATGACAACCACGGCATCGGGGAACAGGAGGACGACTACGACAACCACAACGACAACGACGATGATGACGACGACTACTAGTACCCGCAGCAGCATTGGCAGCAGTAGTGCAGCAATAGCAGCAGCACCACAAGGAACACTACTGCAGCAGCAACAACAACTACTGCTGCTAGTGGTGCTGCTACCCCAAAGGACGATGACCGCAAATACTACTACCTGCTTCCGCAGCTGACTTCGGTACATTTGCAATAATCATGGCAAGAATGACATTGTCAAATGCAACGTGAGTTGGCTGTGGTGAAGTTTAAACTATCACTCTCTGTTCGTGTGTGTGCTCATTGAAGCACTGCCTGGAGTTGGAGTCATCGCAACATTGCAGGTGTGACCTGCCATGTGTTCATGCTCCTCTCCGTGTACATCTCCACGCCATCAACACCCCAACATCAGAGTCAGCACCAAATTTATCGTCAGCAACACCACCACCGTAATCGTAACACCTCACGATGGCCCCGGTATCTCGCATTGAACCGGGCTCACGAACAATCTCTGCCGATGTGCGAATCAACGAAACGGGCACAACGAGAACCTCATGAGTAGTCGTAGCTTGCAAGAATATGTGATTCCTGCGGCACGGCCGGTGCTTCAACTAAGCTGCATCCACATCCATTTCCAGGAACAGGTTTTGCAACCTCGAGCGCCAAGCAAACACAAGTTCGAAACCCTACAGACCTGAGCCCAAGGCCGTTATATTCGAGGCGTATCGAGCTCATGGCTTTCCAAACTGACTAAACAATTGAAACCTTCTAATTAGAACGAAAGAAATTATGCAAGGTCATCCCAACAAATGGAACTGGAAGCCTAGCAGAAAGGGGCACTGGGGAAGCTCTGGCACTTGGGCTTTTCTGTTTCGTGATCTTCAGGGCTTCCTGGATAGTCTCTATTGGTAATACCTTCTGGGTCTTTTTAGCAGTTCTATCTTGGGGCTCCTAAAACGTATCCAACAAAAACAACTACAATGGACAATTATAGGTAATGCTTTCTTTGGTTTAGCAACTGTTTAAATTTGTGGAACTGTATATAGGTAGAGAAGAACTTTCGGGTTTCAGGGTTTTCGCGTCCTGGGAGCTTGCGTGTTCCGAGGGGGGTGACTGAGGGTTTAGGGTTTAGGGTTTAGGGTTTTGGGTTTAGGGGAAGCATGTATAAGGGCCATTAGAGTTGATGGCTAAGGCTTACTGGACAAATTACTTTTTTTGCTGCAGACCTTGGCGTGCCTACACGAAAGTTGTTGTATGTGTCTGTGATGGCCGATCCTTTTAAGTACCCTCCTCCGTTCATCCTTCTTGTTAACTGTGCAACTACATTCCTAGCAAGCTCAGACACCTATAGGCCCTATATAGTTATAACCCACACATTACACCCCAACATGTTGATCATGACGGCAAATTCCAGACGACTCCGACCCGTGCGTAAAGCAGAGTAAGCTCCGAAGCTATACTACCGGACATCCCATTCGGCCCAATCCGTCTGGAAGCTGCTGGCTGCTGCATGATTATCCGAAAAGGAGCCCGCCGTATCGACCCGTACAGGATGTCGACCAAGAAGCCCTGAAACCTCACTCCAGAACCTCAAGCATCCCCAAACCTGCACCCGAACACCCCCGAATCTTTAAGCCAGGAGCCGATTCAAACCCAACAAAAATCTCAATCTAGGGCCGGCGCTCTTTGATGTACTTCTCCTTCACCTCACGCTCCTGTAAAGGCGGGCAACAAATCAGGTGCAAGAGCGGTTTCAAGTTCAGGGGCAATACGGTTATGAGAATTATGATCATGCTTATTTTTACTTGTGCTAATATTATTGTTCATATTAGTATTAATATAAGTAGTAGTAGTAGTAGTATTAGTAGTAGTAGTAGTAGTAGTAGTAGTAGTAGTAGTAGTAGTAGTAGTAGTAGTAGTAGTAGTAGTAGGAGTAGTAGTAGTAGCAGTATTAGCAGTATTAGTAGTAGTAGTAGTAGTAGTAGTAGTAGTAGTAGTAGTAGTAGTAGTAGTAGTAGTAGTAGTAGTAGTAGTAGTAGTTAGTAGTAGTAGTAGTAGTAGTAGTAGTAGTAGTAGTAGTAGTAGTAGTAGTTGTTGTTGTTGTAGTAGTAGTAGTCGTAGTAGTAGTAGTAGTAGAAGTAGTAGTAGTACGCGCTTTGCGTGTATTTGACGCTGTGTTTTTTGGTGCATGCATGTCCGAAACACACGGCAGGGACGTCATTTCCGCATGCGCATGTCGTTGTGAGCCGAGCGCCCTGGATCGTGGGTTTTATCGGCTCAAGTGAAAGTCATGCCATGATGATGTCAAACATGCTCGCGATTAGCCCCCCCCCCCCCCCCCCCCCCCCCAGGTCAATGATGATGTTGATGAGTAAGATGATGTTGATGAGTATGATGATGATGATGATGACTGTATTTTAGGTCGTTCTGGCGCTCGGGTCTGCATGGTCCTTCTTTAAAGAGATAAAAACGAATAACCACGGAAATGCTGTAAATACCAGTATATCTAGGCCCTGAGTATGATGATGTTGATGAGTATGATGATATTGTCTATCACCGTGATGATGATGTTGATGGCGACAATGAATTTGACGGTTTTGAATGTTACTGTTATGATGATGATGTCAAACATGCTCGCGATTAGCCCCCCCCCACCCCCCCCCCCAGGTCAATGATGATGTTGATGAGTAAGATGATGTTGATGAGTATGATGATGATGATGACTGTATTTTAGGTCGTTCTGGCGCTCGGGTCTGCATGGTCCTTCTTTAAAGAGATAAAAACGAATAACCACGGAAATGCTGTAAATACCAGTATATCTAGGCCCTGAGTATGATGATGTTGATGAGTATGATGATGATGATGATGACTGTATTTTAGGTCGTTCTGGCGCTCGGGTCTGCATGGTCCTTCTTTAAAGAGATAAAAACGAATAACCACGGAAATGCTGTAAATACCAGTATATCTAGGCCCTGAAACCAAGTCGCAGATGTCCCAAAAGCAGGAAAAGCATGGCGTCAAATACACGCAAAACGGGTAGTAGTAGTAGTAGTAGCAGTATTAGTAGTAGTAGTAGTAGCAGCAGCAGTAGTAGTATTAGAAGAAGTAGTAGTATATAGTAGAGTAAGAACCACGACTGCAAACTTGATACCGCAGCACGAAGGCACCTCACTGATAACCACCGCTCGAGTTCTGCAAATGGAGATCTGCTAGTCGAAGCATCCGGGTTTGCAAGGTCAGAACTTCATCTGCCGGCCCCAAGTTCACTCCTTGTCTACTTTCCGAAGCCACTCTAAGGTCTGTTACAAGCCGGTGTGGGTAATGGCTGTGGCTATCTTGGTTCCAAGGGCTGCGGGATGCAAAACGACATACTCACAGATTAGTATGCTTCAAGGGCTGATAGGATGTCGAGGCGCGGTGACGAGGGCAGATGCATGTCTCACCAGTGCCTTCTCAATGAGGAACTCCCGCTGAGTCTTGGCTTTGTCCACGGCATTGTCCACAAACACTCCCGTCCTGAGATCCGCTTGCGGAAAACGACAGAAGCGGTACGGGTCACCGTGGTATATTATATCTACTAAGCATCTCGAATTTGAGCAAGAACTTGCCATGAAACCCCAACATGGAACTAGCCTGAAAAGCCCCGTGGCGGCAAAGTCAGCATGGCTACCTTTCCTGAGCTCGGGGCACGATGTTCAACACCGCCTCAGGAAGGGCGTGGGGCTGGTTGTTCAGACTTTGAAATCATATCCTATATAATTTAATAATAACAATATAGCATTTACTGTAATATTGTATGGGCTGCATGTCAATGAAAGAGAGGCGTGCCAGTAGTGACTTCGTGCTGAGAAGGGGCTTCCCAGTCGCAGTTCGAGGATTCCAGAGAAGGGCTCCGTGCGCAAGAACGGTCCAGGAATACGGGTAGTTCTCTACCCATAGGCTCCATAGTAGTTCCCTTTTGGGATTACCTTATAGGATGCTTGTGATGAACCGCAAAAAGGAACTACCATGGAGCCTCTAGGTAGAGTAGGGTCCCTTTTGAGGTCCCCCAACATAGTACGAAGGACCTCAAACGGGACCCTAATTTGGAGTGTATCGGAACGGTCATTGCCACAATGCCGGAACCTTGGGCTGCGCCCCTTGGCTCGGATACTTGATCTCTATGAAATTGTGCCTTGGGCTTTCGACCGCCTTCTGAAGGAACAAAAAAAGCTTTGGACATACTCCTTGTCGAAACTCCTTCTGCGCGGAAACATAAGCACTGTGGTCTCGTGGGCTTTCGGGCTTACGGCGTTCACGGTGCATTCGATGTTGGGAATTTGGGAATTCAAGGGTTTGGGATCCTCGGCTGAGGCCCGTGTTCTCTTACGGTTCTCCAGATGTTGGTCCGGAAGGCTCTGGTTGGTAGCTCTTTGTGGTGCCCAGTCGCCAGCAGTGCAAAAAGGACGTAGAAGATGAATAACCTCGTCGGCAGGAGCACGGATCGAGAAAGCACTCTGACATGTCTTGAGGCAGATCTATCATGAATAGCATGGCGGAAGTAAGGTCACGCCTCTGGCAACAAACGCATTGCTGGCAGTTGCTGAAATTTCGGCCGGTGACGAGTTTGAGGCCTCCAGCGCCCGCATCTGAAGCGCTGGAAGGACCAAGTGCGTGCAAGATGCATCGGAGAAAGTGTGTCCATGGCCAGTAGCATGTCACCTGAAGTACCATGCAGCAGCACGTCTAACTCGTCTCGTCTGAGACGACCTCACCCTCAAGCAGTTACTGGCCCAACACAGCTTAAAACATCTCTGGAGCACTCGATATCACGAGCATGAAATGGCCTTACCATGGGCATCTAGCCAAAACCCAGCATCCCGAACAGCTCCGGACCCAAGCGTAAACCCGAAATGAGCCTAAGCCCTCCACCCACTGTCAAAGGTAAGTCGCACAGAATTCCCCAGTTGATGCCGCCCAGCATAGATCGCAGGAGGCTGTAGGTGGTCGCTTGCAGTGTTCCAAAGTTGGCTTGGATGTTGACAACCTTGGTCTTGATGATGTTTAGAGGTTTACTTTTGGATGTTGACAACCTTGGTCTTGTTAGAGTTTTATAGTTAAAGGTCCTACAGATTCTACAGGGCTTGAAGGGCCTTTGGCAAAGGTCTCTCTAAGGGTGCCATGAGGATCCTGGACTTCATTTGGGGGCCCTTGCTCTACCCCTGTCGCTCTGGCCCTGGGCGGGCGGAGTCCCAGAACCGGTCCTTCCGAAGCCCTTTGGCCCACAAGCTATGATCGGGTCAAAGTTGAGAAACAAAGACAGGAGGAGAGAATTCCCAAACCGTATATATCCTCTTTCGGAGCGAGAGAGCGAGGCAGTTCGTCTACAAGAGACGAACCCGAGCTCGGAAACCGAGAAAGGCCACTGCTTCGATTCGGAACCTCACTCCGAAAGGGATCACACCAAGGGCTTCAGGGATTCGGGGCTCACCCTCGGACAATCTCCAGAGTTTAGGGTAACAGGTTTACGGATTAGGGTTTATAGGGTTTAGGGTTTCGGGACAACCATTATTCTGGTTGGGTTTCAGTTTAGTAGGGTAGCCGCCAAAGTCTAACATCTGACTGAGCGCATTGTCGATTGAAGAGCTTTGCAGCTGCTCGAACCAGTCATCTCCTCAGGCAGATGCCGTGTGAGGGGATGGGGCATGCTCAGGTAGTGAACTACTAAACCCAAGCAAAAGGGCCCGCGCTTATGTTGGAGACGAAGCGCCCAAGCCGGCATCCCAGAGAATTCAAGCATTTACGGCGAGGTTCCTCAGCATCCCCTTCTTTGACAATAAACGTTCCGCAAGGAGCTCGGGCAGGGACGGATTTGGGAATCCCAAAGAGTCTAGGACTCAAAGGTTCCAAAGCTTTCATAAAATGTGTATTATATCGTACTATCAAGGGGTATACAGGGCCCCATATATCAGGGCACCACCACTGTATGAGGGTCCATGCCGGCACCTTCGCCGATAAGGGGGCGAGCTCCGGGCTTCTCTGGCGGTTTAATTTGGATTAGGCGTTTACGGTTTTGAGCTCTCCAGGTTGAAAAAATGGCTGCAATTTTAAAGTCTCGGGCTTAAGGCGTTGAGGTTTTGGGTTTTGCGCTTTAGTTAGTTGTTTTTGCTGCTGACGGTTGAGGGGTTCAGGCTTTGAGGCACTTGGACTTAGGGCAAGGGAATAAATGCAATGTACGAGGTGGACTCTCCCGACTAGTGATTCGGCACACCAGCTATTGCGCACGCAGATCAGCCTTCAGCAAATGATTGGTCGCGAAGAGAACATATACAGCACGCAGACGGCACAAGAGACCGCTGGAAGCCAACCTTTTGCACACAAATATAAGTTTAGGAAGAAGCTTGGTTCTAAAGGACTTCATATAGGGCACCTTCTCGGCAAAGGTTCGACTATGTCTTGATAAAACTACTCGGACCTCTGCAGCGCACGGATTACCGATGTGCCAGGAGTTGGAGCACTTAAAAGAACAGAGTGTGCTGTGCCAGGAGTCGAGACAAGTCAGCGTTGGGCTTCAAGTAGAAGGTGGCGTTGGTGGTGAACCAAACCGCGAAGACGAAAATCCTTGGATGGCTTCCACCAGAGGTTGTACAAATTGACTGTTACCTACAAAACAACTACACTTGTAAAGTATAACCGCGCGAAACTGCCCGAACACCAAAACGCCACACCCCAAAAACCCTTCCGACACGCCCCTGATGAACTTGACAAAATCTGGAGCGGTCGAGGGATCATCGTCAGGGACGGCCCAAGGTAAGTTCATCACACAAAACACTCCGCATTCCCCGGTGGCAGGCTTCCTGGATTCAACCAAGTTGCATTAACAGCAGCATCAACAAGGCCTCAAGCCAGCATGTACATGCACACTGGACACATCTCTAAACCCTAAACCCTTCTTGCAACCGGACTGACAGGAAAAACGAGGTGACCCTAGACTGTTAACCCAGAGCCCTATGAGCCGTAAGCCAGCCGAGCCATGTCCACGTGCCCAAACAGTATGCACTTTGGCTTTAAAGTGTTCCCTGATTGTCGGTACTTTAGGGTCACAGCACATATTAGTTGGGAGAAGGAACCGTCATGGTTTGGCCTGGACGCCCTCAGCAACCCTTCCGAGGACCAAGCCCACATCAGCGATCGCAGGGAGTCGATAATCATGAGCGCCATCAGCGACAGCTCCCGGGAGAAGCGAAACTGAAGCGATGATTTGAGCTTTCGGTGTGAGTTTTAGGGCTTTAGGGCTTGGGCTTAGGGGGCTTCTTGATTTTCGTTTGTTCAGGGCATCCGAGGCTTTGGGGCTTAGGCTTAGGGTGTGTAGGGGTTGTCTGGGGAGTGGGACTTGGTGCTCCAAGCAGACCAGTTGGGGTAGCTTCGGATTAGTTTATGGGTGGCTGGTTTGGGGATGACATGTTGCGAGCAGCGGAATGGGCGTTTAGGGCTTCCCAATGGGGGCATCGACAAGGCACCTCACTTCTGTAGCGGATTGTGGAGCGGTTTTAAGGAAATGCCTGAGCACTGCAAACCAAGTTGCCACTCGGAAGATGCGCGCAATTCCTCGGCAAAGAAACGTTTGTGAGAAGAGCCTGACAAACGAACGTCCGTGAAATGTGCACGTACGGAACAGCAGCGGGCATTTAAGCTTTAACACAATCAAGTTCTTGGTTCGGCTGGCGCAGCTTTGCGAACGATATCTTGGTATCTAAGCAATCCCATGCCAGGGCAGCTGTTGAAATCTGTTCCCTTGCTTCGGTTCTGTCTTCGAAACCTTTTCGAATCTTTCGCCAGGTCGACGTCTTTTCGGACCAGGGGGCCAAGGCAGGGGGAGCCCGACGTAAGCCCTTACACCCTGGGCTACCTTAAGGCACTTAAGCCTGAGTCCGGGTTCAGGATGTGAGACGATGTGAAACTGCCTTTGAATGGTCCATTTCGCTGCACTAAGTCAGGGGTTGGGAATATCTAAGGTTTGAGGAGACCGATTGCTGTCTGTAGGGACTGGCAGGTGAAAGCAATCATCGTTCGTTTCAGCATGACTGCCCACCTTATGTCCAAATCGTCTTTGGCTCTCCATGCCAACATACAAATCTGCAAGCACAACGCAATCCTGAATCCTGTGAATACGTGCTACCTTGGCACGCAGCATTTTGAGGATCCTCACTGCCTGCAAGACATCCATCGTTTGATCCTGAGTCATGGTTGCAGGCCATCCCTTTAGTGATGCTTCTGAGGGCTTGGCCTCGGATGTCGCTGCCATAAGCTGCAAGCTGGAACTCAACAACCACAACCACTCGATTCCCGACGCATTTTGGGAATCTTATCTTCCGAACTTCAAACCGAACCCCAATACAACCACGCCTAAACCTTGAACCCAAGACGTGAACCTCAAGCACAAGAGAGAGCTTCGTCTTCTTAGGACTTCGCAGCAGCAAAGGCCCGTAACACCAAACCAGTAGAGCCCGATATACCTATATAAGGGAATACTCAGTAGATCATAAGACTCTCTTCGTCAATAGCCGGGCCCAAACAAGTTCAAGCTTTCTAAGATAGACCTTGCATATCAGGCCAAAATGTTTAAAGTTTCTTCCATTGGATATCCGGGTATAGGGGGCTGAACATGTCGATTCCAGATAGCTTCATTTAGTTAGGCCCATGAGGGAGTATATTGGGCTCTCTGGAAATCTTGAACTCAAGCCCAAAGCTGAAGTGATACTCTAATAGGGCTGAGTGTTGAGGGCTTATCTAATAGGGTTTCGACTTGCAGAGGGCTATAGGGTTTAGGGCTTACGGCTTAGCCCTGTTCAGGCATTCAATATGTGTGTCCCGTAGCTTTATGGGCTACGGTGGCATTAATCGTAGAGCCACAAATAGAAGAACTCTTTAGGCGAGTTCAAAACCCCAGAGAGCCCTAGTTTCTCGTGAACCTGGGCACAGAAAGCTTTGGGTTTCATATCTTCGCGTCTCATATCTTCGCCTTTCGGGGTTCTGAGTTTGGCATGGGGCCTCACTAGCAAGTTCACGGGGCCTGATGAAGCTACGACAAAACACCCTTGACCCGGAAGGTCCCAGAGTCCTCGGACAACTCCAAACCGTAGACCGGAGAACCTCACCAGCTTCAGGAACGGCTGGGGCGCCCGGCACGCCCATCACCGGCCTCCACCTGTGCACCAGGGTCCTTGCTGTCTGCGTCTTTCAGAAATTCATGCTTTATAGTTTATATGGTTTGCGGCCTGGGCGTTGGGCTTTAGGGCTTCGGAAGTTTAATGCGCAATCAAGAACCAAGCAGAATCGTCATCGTCATCCTGTCAGCAAACCTGAGCTGTTAACATGAGCAACTATGAATGAACCATTGTGCAAACATGAGTATCACGGTTGTCGCCATCGTCATCCCGATCGTTTACACTCGTTCGGATCTTGATTCTCGTCAGTGCCGCATCCTCGCCATATCCATCGCGAACACCGTCATGTTCTTGGAATTGAAAACTACAAGTACCAAGGCTCATGGGTGCCAGGGCTCATTATCTGCATCTTTTCTTATAATCGGCCTTCATGACCTCGAAGCCTCGGAGGCTTTAGCAATTGCGGTTGTGGCTCCAGGGTTGTGCCTCTAATAGTTTAGAGGCTACTAAACCCGAAACCCTTTTTTGCATCCACGCAACTTGAAGTCTTGCTGGGGAACCCGAAACCCTAAACACCGAAACCCTGAACCCCCCTAGAGGGTTGAGATGTTGATGGCAGGCCACCGGAGTCATGGCTGAAGCAGCGGTATCCACGATCCTTAGGCTCGGACCATTCAATCGGAAGACGCCTGGGTCCCGAAACGCTTAACGTTTACTTTAGGCTGTGATCTAAGAGCATGGAAGGCAAAAATGCCATTTCTTAGGACTCCTCGTTGTAGTATACTATACCCAAACGTTTCCCAACACCATTTTCTAATTTGTAAAGGCCCTTAATAAGTAGGAACCTGCTTAGGAAACCTTGGGCCTTTGTTAGGGTTCCTCATATGAACCCTACTATTGTGGGGTTATAGGCCCAGGGTTTCTTAATCAGGTTCCTACATTATTCTACACTGCGGGTTTAGGTGCATCTGGAATGCAAGCTCATCTCGCTCTTGCTGGAGCGTGATCGCAATACATCTGCTTCGGGGATGGGTGAAGTGATGTACCTGTTTGCTGTAATCGCGCAGAACTGTACGAGAAACAGCACGGCTCCATAGAAACACGAAGGAAAGCAGAACACTGGGAAACCCTGATCAGCCCTGCAGTACGAAAGAACTCACAAATAGTACATGAAAGTAACCGGAGTCGCCCTAGCAGCCGACACGTATTGCTCGCTTTAAGAGCACAACCCGGCAGCATCAGTACTGATGCAGTCGTGCATGCCGAGCACATGCTAAATCGCCAAGCGCAGGCTCAGAAGGCACCATTCCACAGCCATGTCGAGTAAATGCATGGCCAGGTCTCCCAAGACTGCACGACGCTCCAGTGATGAGGTTCAAGCTTATTGGTGAAAGGCTTCATGTTTTCTTATGATATATACTTTTCCTGGAACTTTTACCCCCAACCTTTGAACCTTGACCAACTGCCCACACCAATGTCCAATGCAAGCCGTGGTTTCGAAATGATCACGAGGCACGTGTCGAAGATGTTCCAGCCTGCAATTGGGGCGCAGCTCCCATGAAAAGAGGGGCTACCGAGCCGAAGACCTTTCTTCATAGGCCCTGTACAAACAACAAGATCTTCGAACGAAGCCGAAATTTGCAGAACACCACTGTGGGAAAGGTCTCAAGTAAAAACGCGATTGTAACATCCCAGGGTTGTTGCAGCTCAGTTGTCTTCTTTCAAAGCAACATGGTCCTGTTTAGTTGTCTGCAAAAGCACGAGGTCAACGGGACAGATAGGGAGGCAAGCAATATGGGGGCCTTAACAGTTAGAATAGGGTTTTGCGGCCCAATATACTATAATACTCATCATAAGCAACCCCCGAAACAGAATTGTTTAGGCCCCTATAGTGGCAGGGTACATAGGAAACTAGGCAATGTAGGTGGGTGAGCAGGCACATTACGGTAGTCACCTCACGCTTCCTTTTTCGTATCAAAGGCTACAAATCACATGCTTGCGCAGCATATACGCAAAAAACAGATGTGATTGTGAATGCTACAGTAGTTGTATTGGCCACACTCTATGAAACTTGAGACCACGCGGGATTCCCCTAGTGGACCACTCCATACTGGCACGTGCATATCTGTCCATCCCTCCATGCGTCCATCCGTCCATCAGTCCATCCGTCCATCAGTCCATCCGTCCATCCGTCCATCCATCCATCCTTCCATACCTGCTTATGCCGGCTTGTTGAAGATTTCTTTGTCAACTAGCGACTGGGGTACTATGTAACGCGGTAGGCTACTAGTTAAGCCACTGCAGCCTGAACTCACTGCCCGGCAAAGCAGCCTCGACCTCTGGACTCGCAGCAGAAGTCCCACCGCTGCCTCAGCAGCCCGATCTGCTTCAGGATTCCGAGGGCTACAGTATAGAGTATAGGGCAGTTTGGGCCTTACGGGGCAGCTGCGGCTTAAGAAGGAGTATCTTTAAGGCCATGACACCCAAGTTTCCAAATGGCCAACCCTTGTAAAACCCGTATCCTACTTCGAGGATTGCAGGGACAAAGTCGGTCCGTTGACAGCCATTTGCCCTACGCTTCTACGCTTGGGAGCCGAGGGCACCAAAAAACTTGCCTTTCGTTAGTAGGGAATGGAAGAATGGTAGTAATAGTAGTTATACTTGTACCCCATTCCTCCATTCCCTACCAACCCAAGGTAAGAGAAAGGGGCGCCCTCCGACTTCGAGGGATCTGTGAGGCTTGGGGGGCCGGAGGGCTTATCTTACCTTTGGAAAGTAGGGAATGGAGGAATGGAGTACAATAATAACTACTATTATATACTACCATTCTTCCATTCCCTACTGACCAAAGGTAAGTTATGGGGTTGTGGGGTCTAAAGCGGGTTTTACGGTTTATGTAACGGTTTGTAGGAAAGAGGCATGTGCAGGGGTTGGAGTCATAATGTGGTTCAAGGTTACAGTTTTCTGGCTCGTGGGGCTACGCGGATGATTTGAAGAGCACTCGTAGGTAGTACTATATTTAATTACAATTCGTAGTAGCAGCGGCAATATACCCATGGTCATGTACAGTATAGAACTCGTATTCGCAACAGTGAGCCACGGATGGTAATGTTAAGTCATCGTGTGGTACGGACGATTATCCAAAGACGAAGCCGATTCCTTTCTCCGCATCCCTTACCTTGGGTTAGTAGGGAATGGAGGAATGGAGTACAATTAGAAACAACTATTACTACCATTCTTCCATTGGCTACTAACCCTCAACCCTAAAAACCTAAACTCTAAACCCTAAACCCTACTAACCAAAGGTAAGATCCAAGGGTCGCCATGATCCGCAGCAGAAGCTCCAAGAGGAAGAAGCCAGAGAAGCAGTGGTTGAGCACCTGTCTACCCATGGGCCCCATAATAGTTCCTTTTGGGCTTGCCGTATAGAAGTCTAAATATGAATCCCAAAAAGGAACTACTATGGGGCCTATGGGTATGGCGTAGGAAGCTCAAGTTTAGGCTTGGGTCCAACAGATCGGTAACAACCTCGATGCGGCTGCGAGGGCGCTCAGTGACGTGCCTCCAGGGTCATCGGAGCTTCAGTGTGGGTGGCCAGCCACTGGGTTTCCACGGCGATGACGAACGAATTGGCCTTGTCGAATTGTCGTGGGCAAAGTGAAAGGGCTTTTGCGGAGTTCCACCAGTCAAAGAGAAAGAATGATCATGATGATTGCGCCATGTTAAATTTCACATGAAGATGTCGAGGATAGTGTCGAGGACGATAGCGAAATAGGTGGCGATTAGAAAAACGAACATAAACGAACAACATGTTGCTGCTGCTCCTGTTGCTCGTGCTGATGATGGCAGAGCTGCGCGCTGCGCGCCTGCCGGAACGGATGGTGTACAACAAGTCTGTCTGATGTTGCTATAGCACGCCACAACCAACAGCAACATCAGCACATGCAGCGGCTGTTGCTACTTCTCCTCCTCCTCCTCCTCCCCCTCCTCCTCCTCCTGGTCCCAGGGGGCTTGAGGCTGAGGGTTGCTTTGGGGCCCAGGTTGAGCGGCCTTGACATTAGGTTGCGAGTCGAAGGCCTATACCCTCAATGGGCCTGCGTCCAGACATTACGAGGACACCTCAAGCCCATGAGGTTGGTATAGTATAGCATAGTATGTCATGTCAGACTACTTGATGCTATATGTCTGTTACAGTATATCATAATAAGCTCTGCTACATCGAATATATGTTGTTAATGCAAACTGAGAACAGTTGTTGCTAAGCACCTTCTCTAGAGCCACCATTCCTGGCACAATCGTGTACCCGACATCAACACCTCGTCCAAGTAAAACCCCGGAACATTAAGTCGCTGTAGTCTCCATGCAGCTAATACCCATATTGAGTATACTATCAAAAATGCTACCATAGCCTGAGTTACTACTCCTCTAAACCCAAGTTTCTAGATTCCAGACCCTCCAACCCGACGCATCAGCCTTGAATGGCATCGTAAGCGCTGTAATCCTCAAGCCCACCAGCCCTCAAAACCCCCAACCCTACACTCCCCCAAGACCTTCCCCACAGAGCCGTGCGGCGAAAATCATCGCCGAAGCGCAGAAGTCGAACCTGAAAACACTTCGGGGCCTATCAGCCCTGTACTGCATACCCCAAGCCCAGAAACCATGTAGTTAGTTTAAGCCCGAAACAAGATCCGTCATCTTTTTGGCATTCTGTTGCATTCGTGAGCATGGGAGGACATTACAATAAGAAGCACCAAATAGTATAGGCTTTTTGGGCTTCAAGTGTTTATCGTATAGACTTTAAACCCCAATACATAGGTACTGTTCGTATACTTGGACCCCACAATGCATGCCTCATTTTGCAGGTTTCCAGTGTTGCAGGTTCGCACTGCAGCCCTACTGGGCAAAACAAGGAACACGCCGTTGGCAACAGCATATGGTTGTTTCACGGGCGGTAGACACGGCCAGCCGCAGCTGGACGAATTGCATCATAATTCTTGTGCTTTGCGCTAGGCCCGAAACCTTGCATCATACAACGCCATGTCTGCGAAAAATCTGGCGAGCAGCAGGCCATGACGCACGAGACGGCTCACCCAGTCTTGGGGGACCTGGGCTGCAAGAGTCGCGGGTAATGAATATCTTGTTCCCGCGAAGTGCCAAAAAGTAGCTCGCACAGTCACGTAACCCCAAACCCTGCGAATCCCAAAACCGCGAGACTCGAAACTTGTGACGAGCAATGATGCGACCTTCTACATCCGCCATACTCAAAAAATATGAAAACGGCAGCATCAAGACCAACAGACATATCCCTCGATCATTTAGGACGCCACACATCCGTAATGATCAGAACAGGGCTTCAACTGTGTAAGGACTCTGACACACACACTCTCTCTCTCCCTCTCTCTCTCTCTCTCTGTCTCTGTCTCTCTCTCTCTCTCTCTCTCTCTCTCTCTCTCTCGCCTCTCCAGGTCCCATATTCCTTGAAGTAGTTTCAGCATGTTTTTGAACATTGCCAGGATTTGAATCTCGAGAACCACGGCCAGCTGCTACAGATACCACCTTGTTGACTGCATGTCATGGACAAAACTCATCGGGAACCCTCAAACATGAAGCGAGGAAGCGAGATTCGCAAGCACCAAGATCGGAGCCAAACTCCGCACACATGGTGCTGCGTAAAGCCTGTAATAACCCTAACCGGCCCTTGATGCTGGTAGCACGAAGCCGGTTCACAAACAAGACATCATTGCCTGCCACAATGGACTGTAACATATTGGTAAACTACCATAGCATACGAGAATAGGATGGCAAGAGTTGAGGCTATGGGCTTTCGGCACTTGCAAAGCTCTCTCACACATACCTACATATACACATGCATACAGATATCAACACACAGAGGGACAGTGAAGCGATTGCTGAGGTAAGGCCTATTTGGCTTATGGTCAGAGTAGAAGGAGGGCTGGCTCTGGCTTCAAAGAACTCGTGACGGTTTCGGCTTGAAGCTTTCCACGGAAGCTTTCAAACGAAAACTGTGTTCCCGGCTCAGTATACCGTTACAGTGTACCATAATTTACGACGACATACAATAATAGATCATACTTCGATTCCCGTCAAAGGGCAAGCTTTGTATCCTCCTTGGCTTCACGATGCAGCTGCAGCGGCTGCAGTGCCACCTGCGGAGTAGCTCGGCTCGTCTGACTGAATAGTGGGTTTAGGAATTTGGGGCCCCGTGCGCCAGTCAACTGCCACCGAAGGCAGCAAGAGTTTAGGCTTCCCTTAAGAAAACCGTAAACCCCAAAACTCCTTTCGTTTTGAACCAGAAGCTTGAGCACATATGCCTGGAATAGCACCCTGCCACGCTGCATGGCAACACCAAAGAGCAGGAACACGAGTCGGCCCCTAACAAACCGGAACACTAAACTGAAACATGGTAGGGATCAGCCACAGCATCACAACCAGTTTTACAACACTGATCCACCAGTCGCCCGTAAATCCTGAAAACTCTTAGCTGTGCAATTGGCAAGGTTTTGGGCTTGTAGGGGTGTTTTTGAGCCGAACCCCGGCAATCAAAAACAACAAAAGGCAAACCCAAAAGCCCTGCACACCATATGCTACACTACACCATACTAATATTATAACATAGGCCCCACAGTAGCTCCTTTTTGGGATTACCCTATAGGGTTCTAGCCCCCAAGCAAGGAAATACTATGGGGCCTATGAGTAAACCTGAGCCGAGAGGCTCCGTAGTGCGCTGTGAGCTCTTTCCTTGGCTTCGCCCAAGAAACCCGCAGCCTCGAGCCCTAAATCTCACCTACAGCCTCCATTGTAGTTCCTTGTTTTGGTTAACCAAAATCTCTATTATGGGGTCCTAACCATAAAACTGGATAATAACCAAAAAAAGGAACTACAATGGAGACTATAGGTAAGCCCCTAAACCGCAAACCCCTAAATCCCAAACGCCGAAACCACGGAGGAAAATCGTGTTGTGGACTTTACAGAAGTTTCAGGGGTTCGGCGCTCGCACTCGGACAATGCGAGGCATGTGTTTCAGGAACCGGAGTTCAGGGTATTGCATCGGACCGGCTTTCTGTTTTGACGCATCGGTTTCTGTCCGCTCAGTTAAGGTTGGTCACAAGGGTTTCGGGCTTTAGGGTCCTGCGTGCACAGCCATAGGCGATGGCGTTTGAAGCTTGGCTGAAGGGAATTCACTTCTTAGTGCATGACAGCCCCTGCTCAGAACATAGGGCTTGTAGGGTGTGGGCTTCTGATACTCTCACTATCTCTCACTCCTTGATCGGACACTGCTTGTCCTACGCTGCGCAGCGAAGTCCTCACAACGCTTCCCGTTGCACACGACCTTTCCGAAGCCAGGAGGAGATCTTGAGCTGCGATTTGGCACTGCCTCATATTGGAAACCCAAAGCCGAAAGAACACGACATACTAAAGTCAACTAATCCGCAAAATCGGAAAATGTTGAACCCACGGATCCCAAACCACGAGCCTTGTAGGTATGATTGCCTGTCTTCCCCGAAGAGTCTGGGGATTCGGTGTTGTTCGAAGCTAAGGGTCTTTTGGGCACCAAGTTGACCCGGACACTGCCAGGCCAGGTCTATAGACGTGACGAGACCAATTAGTGAAGACACTTCGAATGAAAGCGCAGAGCATCGGTATCGCAACGCACGAAAACTGTTAAGCACCGCAGGTTAGAGGAAAAAAGATACAGAGACTGACGTACATGTCATCTCACCTTGATCACCAACGGTTTGCGAGAGCCACAGCAGCATGCGGATCTATCTTTCGCACTGCTCTTGGAGGGTAAGCATAGCCTGGCAATTCTGATAATTGTTGACGGTCGCCGCAACATAACAACTACTGCTGCTACCGCCAGAAACACGTGTCATTAGGATCAAAACACGTGCAAGTTTCTGAGCTGATGTAATCGTATAGTATTAGTGGCACCGAGAGCGGGCGGTAGTGGTGTTAGTAGAAATCGTCGTTGTAGTTCTAGTAGGAGTAAGAGTAGGAGTAGGGTTAGGAGCAGAAGTAGGGGATGAGAAGCAGGAGGCGGAGCTGTAGCAGCAACCACATTCCCACTACTGGCACTATTTATCTTGCCGCTGGATTTATGTGGGTGCTGTCGTATGCATTGTCGTCGAGACTATCTACGCCTCTGCAGACCAAAGCCCCATATATACAAAGCGCTATGAAGCAATGATTGAGAGCCTCACTACAGAACCCATTTAAACCCTAAACCTGCAAATGCTAACCCGAATCCCCTGTAAAACCAGAACCCAAGCAAGACCCTGTCGCATGGAGCCCTTATCATTATCGTCATAGCCCTTACAGCCGGAAGCCCTCATAACAATAGTAAGCCTCATGACTATAGAACCCGTCCAGCCAAAGCCAAGGCTCAACTGAGCCGAGACCACTTTTTCGCCAAACGCCTCCCATGAACGAACTTGGGTCAGGGCTTAAGGCGCTTAGAGTTTTGGGGTTTGGGGTTGAATGCCCTACAGTACGGATTACGGCTTATGCTTCAGGTTTAGTTTTGAGGACACAAGGGTTGAGGATTTGGGGTCTGTTTTCATCGCCTGAGGCTTGACCTGGGTGGTTGTCAAAATCATGGCCCCCTTTTTGGGTACCCTAAATAAAAGGTGCCCTACCATAATAGGGACCCAACAAGGGCATCCTAATTTTGACAACCATCCACCTTAAGCTTCAGGTCTTCGGAGTCGCGGTCGGTTCAGGGCGCATGTCGACCCATCTAAGTTGGCTGGTGCTCGGCTACGTGGCTGAGGGTTTTAATAGGCTGTGAACCTAAAACAGCCTCAAAATTTGCCTATAGTATTTTGGGGGCTCCTCATTTTGGGAGTTCCCTATTTGCGTAACGGGCCCCAAAACCCTATTCTATTTGTTATAAGGCCCCTATATTACAGCACCCTTATAGATCCCTTATAATATACCTCAAAGGAACCCTTTAAAGAACCCAATTCTAATTTTTATCAGGCCCCTATAGTGCAGAGTGTCAACAGCGAGGCACCTTTTGGAGCTGCTCGTCGCAGCTGCTGGCGGTGCCTCGCAGCAGTCGCAACACTGTTGAAACAAACCAAGTTACCGGACATATGACTTTAGGGTTTAGGGTTTAGGGCTCGAGGTTCAAGGTTTATATGGGTAGTTGTCAAAATTATGGTCCCCTTTTGGGTCCCTAATATAGTGCGGCACCTATTTTCTAGGGTACCCAAGGAGGGGCCATAATTTTGACAACCACCCATGTGACTGCAGGCCTCTTCCAACATCGGCGAGTTTGGGACCGGATTGGTGAACAAGAAGATACATCACATAATTTCAAGTTGTAGACCGCTAGGGTTAGGGTTTGGGGGTTTGGGTTTACCTATAGTCTCCATTGTAGTTCCTTTTTGTGGGTCCTAACCATAAAACTGGTTAGCCAAAAAAAGGAACTACAATGGAGACTATAGGCATGATTTCAAGTTGTAGACCGAGGCTTCAGTCAGTTAAGGCATCATGATGACCTTGCTAGCTTGTGGTGCCAATTCCTGGGACTTCTGGACAATCCTTCGTATGCGTCGTCAGAAACAAAACTGCGAACTCCGAGCCTAATGGCGACTTCACGGCATCAGGGGCCTGGTGAACCTGGCGGACAGGGTTGCAAACAAACACCAGTGTCACATTTGGCCTTTAGAGGACTTAAAGGTAGGGCAAAGCTGCAGTGCAACGTCTTCCTTTACACCATCCCTCCGCCGCTTTAGACGGTTGTGCTGCGGATGCAAACTTTGAGGACAATCGAACCGCGCGGTAAGGACCATCCGGTCAGAAACTTGGCCAACGCAAACCACCTTGGACTTGACGTCTCCGCCACGCGGTTCTGCCGGAAAGTCCTTCACAGACTTGCTTGTAGGCTGAGGCTTGTGCTTTCCTTTCGGGCAATGGAGCTCTTCAACTTGACAAGAACTAGGGCTGCCAAGGATGGACATGGACATGAAAAGCAACGCTCGCACACATAAGCCGTGATAAGAAAGCAGCGGTGAAGGCTGTCTAATTGCGAACACGTGCCGTGGCAGAAACTAATCGTGTCAGACTTGTTGAGACTCATCTCCCGCAAATAAACTGGTTGGGGGTTCTCGGTAAGCGATCTTAGATTTGCCGCAGCCAGCCAACGCCTTCTCTGCCGCCCAGCGCTCTGCCGCCCAGCGCTCGGGGTCCAAGACGGGAAGGCGCAGTGCCTGGACAAGGGTATAGAGGATTGGCGAGTAGGATTCTGATTCTCGATACGTACGTACGCATGTACATGTATGTATGTATATACATATATACATAAATGTATCTCTCTCTATATATATATATATATATAGATAGATAGATGTGTAAGTTATTCACATACATGCTGCAGTTGTTATTACTATGTGACTGTCGGAGTCGGCACAACTTTCCTTCTATGAGCATGATATACAATGTCATGTTATGGCCGGAACATCGAAATTCGCGAAAACTAGGCTCGGTATCCGATGTAACACTATCACGGTCTCTAAAGTTTTGTAGCGCTTGGACGAGGTCGGAAGAAGAGGAAGAGCCATAAGGCGCTGAAATCGGGTGGAGCTATCTTCTTAGTCGCGCTTGCAACGGGACTTCGGGGTCAAGTTTAGGGTTTAGGGTTTAGGGGGTTCGGAACCAGCGGAAACCTCAAGGCTTGGATCACGAAGGAGGTTTGAGGGAGATGTTTACAAGGAGTGTTCGACATGGTTCGTGGCCAAGTCATATTCTCCTGAAGCATTCATGTACAGGCCGCGCTTGCCCTCAAGTTTCTTCCCCGAACACCGAACATAAGATAAAAACACACATCAAAATACACATGTTTTGAAGCAGGGCCCTGCAGCCATGCCTGCCCCTGCAACCCTGAGCTCATGTCATGACAGGAAAGCCGATGAAGAAAGCAGTCGATTACAACAGTAATTCTATAAACAGCGCATGTTGAGGTATGTGAAGCCATAAGCCATATGTGTGCTTACACGTACCAGTGAACCTGTGGTGTAGACTGCGAGAACAACGGTGAAGACGGTACTGATGTTGATGATAGCGGAAATGAAGGGTAAAGCTTCTGCAGGGTGTAAGTACGTGTGCCATGTGTGCAGCTAATAAGGGGCCGTTGCGCTCTTGCTGCCACTCAATCTTGTTTTCAGAGTCCCCTAGCAAGAGGTACATCCAGAATCCGACTAAGGAGTTTTACTCCAATGCACTCTTATCATAGTAGGGAGCTGGCCCTTCATGTGCGTATACTTTCATCAACCACATGCCTGAAGTATCTGCGTGTGGAGGCCGGCGAGATTGCACCTCGCATCGAAATTGTGCGGGATCTGGATTCCTTTCAGGAATCCTCTAGGGGTCACTATAAATACATGGTAGGGGCTCCTTTACGGTTTCCTTGGCTGCAAGATTTCTCCTCGAAGTGCAACCACTGAGGCGGGTTTCGCACGGCAGGGTGAGGATATGAAAAACTGGCAAACACACTGCGACACATGCTCGAGCAGGTTCGAGCGAGCCGATCGTGAGAACAAGAAACCCCAAATGTCTACTGCTACACCTTCGTACCCAACTGACATGACATTCCTCATCGCCTAGACTTGGGTTTGAGGTGATTCAACATTCGAACCGAGCTCCCCGTCTCAGTTGGCGCCCAAGGGACATCGCGGCATCATATTGTGCAGCCAAGTCAGGCCGTTCCCATGGCACCGGCCTTCAACAGAAATGGATACAGGGAACTCCAGAAAGTTGGAATATGGTTTCATGGTAGGATACCCTGTAATTTACCATAGGGTTAGGATAACCATATTCCAACTTTCTGGCTTCTACTATAGTGCAAAGATGACGGTCCGCTTGAAATCGATATAGTAAAGCAATATGCTTGCAGAAGACAGGTGTATCCATGAGGCCAGAAGCTATACAAGTGTCTGTGCAGCGACCGTGACCGAGCTTCTATACTAGAATGCTGTAGTCGGCTATTGAGTATAGGCACTGGGACATTGACTGGATCAGCGAGAATGCATGGTGTCTCCAACCTGCGTAAGGATCCCTGCCAGCGCTGTGGCTTGAAGTTTGTGTATCTTGCCGTCACCCTAAACCCTAAACCCTAAGAGTTCGGTAAAGGAGCACGGTAAGGAAGATCGGACGCCCATGGGCCACAAAGGCGGCCAGTCCAGAATCGTCACTACACCGGAATATCTACCCATAGGCTCCATAGTAGTTCCTTTTTGGGATTACCTTCTAGGATTCTAAATTACCTTCTAGGATTCTAAATGTGAACCTCTAAAAGGAACTACTATGCAGCCTATGGGTAGTTTGCGGGTGATCTTTGCTAGCGACTTTGTCCCCGAAAGGAAATGCCTGCAAGGACATTAATTAGGGCTCAAGGCTTAGGGTTTCCGTAGTCACCCTAGTCTCCCCCAGGCACTCGCCTCTGCAGTGGAGACACGCCGTCCTGCCCGCATCGTACCCTCTGAAAGTAGATAGCAGCTTCAAGCCCTGAACCGCGCCACTAGCCCTATAGCCGTGCAGATTATGTGCACGGTTTAGAGTTTATGGTTTACTATGCCCAATAATGAACACCCATTTCAGTTTCCGGCTTAGAAGTTTAATAAAGCTTTGGAAGCGAGGACTGAGGGAGTTCGTGAGAGACTGGAGTTCTCCGTTCCAGGGCATTATTTCTTTGTGCTGCAGCTAGTCGTCGTAGTAGTAGTAGTAGTAGTAGTAGTAGTAGTAGTAGTAGTAGTCGTCGTCGTCGTAGTAGCCTCGCCCCCACTACTATCACCGCCAAATTCTGCCAAGGCGACCAGCACCACTATCGCCACTACCACCATGAGCGCCACTACATGGGAGCACAGCTACCACCGCGACTGAGGCTACGACTACGACTTCGACCAGGACGAACCTCGACGACAACTACGGCTGCTACTCTCGCAATTGCTGGTGAAACTGCTTGAGTTGCAGGTCTAGCAAATTCAAGTTTACTATTCCGTGGTCAAGCGATCAGTAGGGTCTAAGCTTTCCGGTCCTCACAGCTGCCCGCGCTGTCCGCGATGCTAACGGCGCCTTGGCTGCGGGTTTAGACATTCTCGGCCAACCTTTGGAAAAAGGTAAATGAGGTGTTTGACGCCTGTTGCCCTAGAAACATTCACAGTTCACGGACCATCGACGATGAGGTACAAAGTAGGGCTCTTATCTCTCGGATGAGATGCAAAAGTTCATCAGGCCCGCACGACGACAGCAACTGCAGAAACTACCTCAAGCTCGACACCCGATATCCCCAAGCCCTGCAAGCACCTTTGTTAATGCATTTTGGTCCAGCATTGGCTTGGAATGCATTCCAGCGGACACTCAAGACATTAACCAACGCTTGTTGTGGCAGAAGAGTTTGGCAAAGCACCTCAGGGTTCTTGTCTCTGGTCATCAGGGCTCTTGTCTCTGGTCAGCCTGTATAGCCCAGGCAGATGCCAACAGTCTTGCGAACCCTAGGCCCTAAACCTCCAGTTAACCCTGAACCCACCTGAACTCGAAATACATGCTAATTACCCATAGGCCCCACAGAAGTGCGTTTCTGGGATTACCTCATAGGATTCTAAATATGAATCCCAAAAACTGAACTACTATGGGGCCTATGGGTAAACCCTTTTACAACTAACCGGCCCGGAGCGACTCCGCCAGGTTCAGGCAGGGGGGAAGCGATGTTTTGACACACTCCTAGGCTAGTTGAACCCTAAACCCTGAAGGCCCCTAAACCCTGAAGGCCCCTAAACCCTGAAGGCCCCTAAACCCTAGAGGCCCCTAAACCCCTAGAGGCCCCAAAGCATATATCTGGTGAGTTGCTGCTCGCTGGTTTCATGGCCCGCGCCGCGGGCGCCAAGGGCAAAGCTTCTCCGCTTCATTCTTGAGCCGGGTCGAAGCGCCAAGGGGTTTTTGTTTGCTCGACTAGAGCCAGTGTTTTGGACGTGGCTATTCTTAGCGACCGTGGGGAAACGAATAATCAAGGATATAGTTATTGTGATTGCCACATCCAGCAGGTGAGGCACTTGACATGTCACCGCCGCACCCTGCTATGCGATGGCAACCTGAACCACTGTGAGCAGAGGCCTGAATTCTTTCTTTAGCATGCGGTAGTTCCGCATAAGCCTGTAACCCTCAACCACGAAGCACAGAAATGCTAAGACACCAAATCCAGCCGAAAGCCATCGGAAAAGCAGATCCTGCCCTCAGCTCCATCCAGCTGCCTTTGCCCCGAAGATATAATGCATAAGCAAACATCTACACTGACACGAATTCCCATCGCTTAAAATTTAAAAGCACCTAAGGACACCCATAGGAAGTACGCTCATAACAACCAGGGCCCCAGTGAACTAGGAACAACAAGGGCATTATTAAAACTGGTATTGGCTAGTTTCATAAGGAAACTAAGACCACCAAAAAGGTCTGGGAGATACACGGTTTATGGTTATAGCGCAAGCGCCTTTTCCACTATACTCAACACAACATGTTGAGTAATCGCTGGGAGCCGACTTTCCAATTTTGTTCTAACAAACATGGGAGTTTCAGAAAATGGGGGACCCTAATATAGTACCCTAAATAGTAGGATCATTACTATCAATACCCCCAAAATTGGGTACCCCTAATTTTCGGAAACTCCCACATGAGTACTTAGAACGCGATAAAGAGTCCCTACAGTTGAGGCTGCCTCATCCTTGAGCATCCTCGCCTTCCGCTTCTGGGATTGCCTCCTTTGCTCACGGCATGTTTAGGAAAGTTACGGGGTTTAGTGTTACTGTTGATGATATAAATCCTGCATTACCCATACTAAGGAATATACCGCAATTCCCATAGTGTAGGGTCCTTAAGGCAATGCGGGTTTATATCATCCACCGTAGGAGAGTATGGGGTTTAGGGTTGTGGTTGGGATTTCCCACAGCTGGGTGTGCTCGTTGAGTTTGGGGGCTCTGGGTTTTCGGTTCTGGAAACTGGGATCATGGTGACCAAGTGAGGCCTGACAACCAATCATGTCCCTGATCGGCTGAGGATATCCTCCTGATATGCCCTAAACCCTAAACCCCTAGACCCCTAAACCCCTAAACCCTAACCCCTAAACCCCTAAACCCCTAAACCCTAAACCCCTAAACCCCTAAACCCCTAAACCCCTAAAACCCTAAACCGCTAAAGCTGAGTGTGCGACTGAACCTGGAGGCTCCTGGGGAGGTCTGCAGTTGGGGGGATTGGGGCATGGGATTTCTCATGGCTTTCTCGACATCATTGGGGCGACTCCTGTGACTATTGCGTCATTATTTCAGTGTGTGCTGTCGTAGTAGTTGTTACCACTGTGGCAATTCCTGCTTCATCCGACTTTGTGTTTGTCCTTGATCGTGACAGTAGTTGAAATCCGATAGCTTTTTCTTGTCTTTGCTTTGCCCACATTAAACGCCATGTTACTGTTGCTGGCACCTGTCTGCATGGTACGATGCTGTCTACTACATGGGGAATACCGCCAGCAATGATGACTGCAAGTTATTACAATGATCAATCATGGTTGGCATGGTCTGGACGGCTCTAATGTTTAGGGTTTAGGGTTCTGCTCTCGGCGCTGTTGATGGCTTCCGCTCTCATCGTCTTACTCTTGCCAGGCTGTCTAGCTCCTGGCCAAGCGCACTTACCGTCACTTACCAGTAGCATCCTTGCAACAAGGCCAAATGAAAAGAAACAAGGGCTGCAGCAATGGCAACAAAACATCGTTACACGAATAGTGCTTATTATGGTTGCAGATCGCATCGGGTATGGGAACACTGATCCCTGAGCCATTAAACCCCTACTTCGGCCACTATAGCTTAAGCCTGACGACCGAACGCCACGAACACCCTCAAAGGATTTTCGGGCATCAGGGGTTAAGCTGCTCTCTTCTCCCAGACATGGAAACCGTAGAAATCAAAGGTCCCTCGGGTTCCTTAGCAGAGCCGAGCACTCCTCCAAGTCTTCATCCTGCTCACGTGCGAATCGTACGAAGACCTCCATGCTCCGGCGATGTCTGGAGTTAGACCCTACGCAAGATCCATAGATCTATGGGGCCATCGTTGAGGGTCCAGGATGTGTTCCTGTTCGGGGTTCAGGATTGGAGGCCTGGCTTAGTTTAGGCCCTAAGTCAGGTTTGGGATTTGGATTTGCGATAGGTCTGGGCCAGAGAAGTCAAGACTGCATTGTCAAGGAATCTGCTTCCAGGGCAGGCAGATGACTTGCAATTGAGCAAGCCTTTACATTGAACTTTATATGACTGTTGATGCCGCAATTGGCATATGTGGCGCTACAAGCCGCGTAATGAACATCAATGACCCACATAGGACAGGCCTGACTCTTGTCTTTGATGAGTCCAGTTCGCAAGACGGACTTATACTGCATAGCGGTATTGTCGGAGTTTCACGTGAATGAAGCTTGGCAGGTATCAAGCACAAGCAAATGCATAAACCTGTCCAGACCATGTCAACCTGCACTAAACGCATAGGGCTTGCAAAGACAAACACATTGGCACTGGCACGACCTCAGGGGAGAAAAAGGACCAGAACATCCGGATCAGATCTGAGTCCGCGCACACAGACTCGGAAGCCAAACCCAAAGCATACATCCCCGCATCCCGGTCCACGGCACTAAGACGCTATCGCCCGGCCACTAGATCCCCAAGCCGCTAAAGCCTAGAGGCCGTGAGCACGAGCCTGCTCCAAGGAAGGCTGAGTGATGGAGTAGTCCGAGAGACCCAGCTCTGCCATGTTCTTCTGCACCTGCCGGGGCACTGGCAGCGGTGCAGCTACAACTTTCACGACCAGTCCCCGGGTTTCGGTTCAGCTCTGGAGTGTCGTCGCGAAGACGGTGTACCCTCGTTCCCGCGAAACCGAAAACCCTAAGCCGAAGTCCTTCCCTCTCTTCTAGTTTAAACCGGGCTGTTCAGAGTTTCCCGCCGGAAGTCCGCCACAATGGTGGGCATCAAACATGCGGCGCCCCTGAAAACCAAGTCATCATATCCATCTTGACCCTTGCAAAGCGTTGCAGCGCCTCAATGAAGATGTTGCCCAAGGTGAGGCGCATCTGGCAGAGTGGAAGGTTTCGGGCTATCGAAGCACTGAATTCGAAAGCCCTAGATCTTGACGGACGTTGAAGGTAACAAGCTCCAAACGCCACACCTGGCAGCGAGCCTGAACGTACCCCAAGTACCGAAAGCCCTAAACCTGAAGCCCTGACACCCAGAAGTCCTTAAGCTAGAGCATTGGTGGAAATGAACATCATGCCTACGAACCCCAAAGCCTCATGCATCCTTCCACCCAATAAGGGCTCAAAGCTTCGGTGCTCAGACAGTTGGGGTGTATGGGGTCTTGGGCTGTGCTTCGCACTGAAAAAAGCTATTGACCGGTTGACTGCTTTCTTCTATCATGCACTATAGGCTACATTCTAAACTGCAAACGTCGAAGTCCTGAGCCAAAACACCTTAGAGACTCAACCCTAAACCCTAAACCGTGTGGGCTTCGGCCGCCAAGGTCTGAAGACTGAGCAGCGAACAAATCCCAATTCCCCACTTCCCCATCAGGTTTAGGGCTCGAGGTGAAAGATTTATATGGGTGGTTGTTAAAATTATGGTCCCTTTTTGGGTCCTTTTTGGGTCCTTATTATAATACGGCACCTAATATTTAGGGTACCCAAAAAGGGGCCATAATTTGACAACTACACATATAGGGGTTTTTGGCTCGATCAGGGAGACACACACAGATCTGCATAGCAAAGAACCGCCCGGCTAAATAAACCTGTCGCACCATGCTCGCAAGCCTGAGATCGATACCCCAAACGATTTTTGAATCCTGAAGCCCTTTCAATGGCAGTACCCTCAACATAAGAGCCGAAAGAAACCCAACTCCTAACACCTGCTGAAGCTGAATCTTACTAATTTGTTGACACTCACTCTCGGACAAGCCTGGCGAGGTCTCAGGAAGTAGGTTCGGATTTCTTCGTTATCAGCCTACTGTGTGGATTCACTCCAGTAGGCAGACGGTAGGATTACCACCCCAGGGCTTCGCGAGTCATCTTCTGCAACTTCATAGCAAACCCCGCCCCACACGATGGGGGCACCAACTCTCTCAACCCCAAAACGAAAGCCCGGGTCTGGTACCTAATACAAGGATACTTAGAAGAAGGTCTTTGGTTTAGGGTTCAGGGGTTTAGGGTTTAGGGTTTGAGATATTATCCTCTAATTGCAAAAAACGGCTGGAACTGCAGTCAAATCGGCAAATGTTGCGACCCCTAAATAGCCCGAAGCCCTGCACAAGTACTTCGTGTCTTGTGGCCTGCGGTTCCGTGGAGGATGTTGCCTGCTTGGGCTTAGCCCTCAGGGACAAAAGGCTTGCATGAGGTCGTTTCTATACGGGTTGAGAGTTTTTGCGGTGTGAAGGACTTCACATGCGGGGCTTAGTCACAGTCTTCAGGGTCACGGATAGGGGCTTAGGCTTTAGGGTTTAGTGTTCAGGGTTGACAGATTAACGCCTTACGAGATTTTATACGGGCATGAACAAGAGCAGGAGACTTTAACGGAATGCCGACCACAAATGTGTTGTGCCGCAAAACTGGGGCTGCAAGACTAAAGTCCGAAACTCCATGTGTTCTAAAGTATTGACGTGCTTACTTCAGCTTCACTTCCTGAACTTCGAAACATTACCCCAAGTCCGAAATATAAGTGGGCATTTTTGCTAAGTACTCCCCTGTGAGAAATTCGAAGACAAGCCGTTGAAGACGGACCTCGCTGAGGGGAGGTAGCTGGAACAGGAACCTGACGGAGAGCTTACGGACTCTTTACGGCTTAGGGTTTGTAGGGCTATTTTTGGCTTCGAGCTTTGGATTTCTTGGGCTTTTTGGGCTTATAGGGGTTGTGATTCTTCGACACTCACACTCGCACGATGCAGGCGTTTCTGATTCTTAGGGTCCAGGGCTTGCAGGGGTTAGCTGACACTCCCAACACCTACCTGGAGCACGGCTCGTCGAGTTCTTCTTGGTTGTCTACAGGGCTGTCTTGCCCAGGCTTACAAATCTTGAGAGTGTTTGGCGCATGGTCTAGCGCTTCTTCTAGCGCTCTAGGGGTCTGGGATTCCAATCGTTTCGAGCATGAGAGAGGTTCTCCGGATGGTACCTATAGTCTCCATTGTAGTTCCTTTTTTGGTTTAACCAGTTTTAGATTAAGGATCCTAAAAGGTAACCCCAAAAAGGAACTACAATGGAGACTATAGGTAGATCAGGGCTTGGGTCGCCATGTTTCATGGACCGGGACGCTTCAGAGAAGCAGGGGCCCAAAACACAACCGTATGATACTATGTTGGCTCCTTCGGTAAACAAGGCTGCAAACTACACCAAAATGTACTCATCTTAAGAATCACAAAGTCCGGTTCGTCGGTAGATCAATCTCAAGATATGATAAGGGTCTGTTAGCAGACTCAGACCTAGATACGACGACTCCGGAAAGACACTCCGTAAAGCCACCGAACTCAACCCTAAATTCCAACTCCGAATCCTGAACCATATGACTATACTGAACTTAGAACCCTAGCGAAAATTACAAGTTTAGCTGTTTCTTAGGGATTATGATAACCCAAAATTCAAAATTATTTTTAAGTACCCCTAAGATGCCCCAAAGCTCTAGAACCGAAGACCAAAGAGGCCTCGGGGGTGCCGGGCCACCGTCCGGCTTCGCGACAAAGTTGTTGGGCTATTTTCAATCAGCACAACATTAATAATAAGGATCCTGCTATTTAGGGTACTATATTAGGATCCCCTATTTTACCTTATAGGATTCTAAATATGAACCTCAAAAAGGAACTACTTTGGGGCCTTAGGGAATTACCAGCTATCAGGTTCCGGGCCTTGGGTCTCAGGTGTTGGGACAAAGGGTGTTGTCTCTAAAAAGCCCTGGCTCTGCAAAGGTGCACATTTCGGGCCCTTGTCAGAGCCTGGAGTTTCTGGGGTTGACCCGGCAACGTAAGGGTTTAGGGTCGGATTAGGGCTTCGGGTTTAGGGGTTCAAGGTTGAAGGGGTTCTGACAGCTCGACAAACTCAGGCGGCAATTAACTCGCGAATAAGGAATCGCAAGACAAAGCCACCTGGACATGGGATGGGCTTTTCCCACAATCTGCCGTAGCCCCCCTGCGCTGCATGACTTACACCCCCGGCCCCCCGAACTACGAGTGCCCCACCTCCCGGCGTGATGCTCAAGGAGCGAACCTTTGGGCGACAAGTGGCGCCTGACGAATCGCCTGAGCTCCTCTCGGCTGCTCATCTGGCTCGCGGGCTTAAGCTTAGGATTCGACTTTAGCGGCTTGGAGCAGATAGGGGTCTTTTTGAGGCTAGAAAAAAGCCCTGCTGGAGCATGTAGAACTTTAGGGTTGTTGGAGATTGGGGGCTGGCGAACTATACTGATCCTCCAGGCGAAACCGAAGCTGTTTCAGGCTTTCCTTTGTCACCCGCCCAGCTGAACAGGTCTTTAGGGTTTTGACACTCACTCTCGGACAAGCCTGGCAAGGTCTGCAGTAGGTACGATAGGTTCGCTCAGAGAGTACTTATCAAGTCGATTCACGGACTTTTTAGGGCTTAGGGTCCGGTTGGGTCCGGGGTCTAGTGCAGTTTAGGAACCCGACACCCCCCACACATGCACAGAAGCAACTTTCCTCTCCAGCAAGCCTGGGATTTGATGTTGAAAGGTTGGCCTTTGAATTTACCGTTCAACTGTTGGCTGGACCTGACAGGTACTCGAAACTGGAAAATGCACAGAAGAAGACAACCTTTCGACTGTCAACCGAGCCCTCGACGCTGCAAACATATCTCATAAGCCCCAAGCGACATCCCCCCTCCGGAAAGCCGGTACCCAACACTCCGTGGGATCTCCTGTGCTTTCGCAGCCCAGAATTCGTGGCCTGCGATGGCATGCAGTTCCCAAGCAGATTATGGTGGTTTAGAGGTCGGGGGCTTTCAGAGAGATCTGGGGTTCTTCAGCCTCTTTCAGAGAGATCTGGGGCTCTTCAGCCTTCGCAGTAGTAGTTGTCGTCGTGGCTGTCGGCAAGGACGTCTTCGTAGCCGTAGTAGTAATCGTCATGGTGGTGGTAGTAGCAGTCGGAATAGTAGGAGTAGGAGTAGGAGTAGGAGTAGGGGTGCGGCTAGAAGGAGTAGTGGTGGTAGTAGCGGTAGTAGCAGCAGCAGCAGAAGTAGCTGTAGCAGTAGCAGCAGCAGCAGCAGGAGCAGCAGCAGCAGCAGCCGCAGCAGCAGCAGCAGCAGGAGCAGCAGCGGCAGGATTAGTAGTAGTGGTGGTGGTGGCAGTAGTAGTAGTAGTAGTTGTTGTAGTAGTAGTTAGTAGGTAGTAAGCTATCTAGGTAACGCTCGACTGTGAACAAGGCTCCTGGCTTTGCTTCGAGCGCCTGCAGTAAAACAGAAGAGACATGCGGCCCCGAGGCTCCGGATACAGAGCTGGTGAATAAGAGGGTGGTTGTCAAAATTATGGCCCCTTTTGGGGGCACAATGAAAATATGGTGCCGTATTATAATAAGGACCCAAAAAGGGACCCTAATTTTGACAACCACCCAAGAAGCAGCAAGTCCCGGAATACTCAGCTCCTGGCCAACTTACCTTTGGTCAGTAGGGAATGGAGGAATGGGGTACAATTAAAAGTACTATTACTAACATTCTTCCATTCCCTGCTAACCAAAGGTAAGCCAAAGACCAGCGAATGACAGCTAGACCCTGGGCGCCGAACTAAACTCATCTGCGGGAGGATCGCAGAAGAGCTCCAGCTGATACCCGGAGCCGTATTTTCCCCTGAGCCGTAAGCAGGTCAAAAGCAGAAGCCCCCGTAGCAATCGTTGCAGGAACGGCCGTCGTAGTAGCAGTAGCAGCAGTAGAGCAGTAGGCAGTAGCAGTAGTAGCAGTAGTAGCAGTAGTAGCAGTAGTAGCAGTAGCAGCACAGCAGCAGCAGCAGCAGCAGTAACAGCAGCAGCAGCAGTAGCAGTAGCAGCAGCAGGGCAGGAGGAGTTGTAGTAGGAGAAGGTGCAGCAGCAGCAGCAGCAGCAGCAGCAGCAGCAGCAATGGGAATGTTGTAGGAGCAGGTACGGAGCAGGAGCGGCGAAAGCAGCAGTCGGAGTAGTAGCATGAGTAGGAGGAGGAGGAGGAGGAGGAGGAACCGTGGTGGTGGTAGTAGTGGTAGAAGTAGCAGCATTAGTAGCATCAGTAGCAACACGCAGCGCCGAGCTGATCGTAATGGCAGTTAGCAGTCTGTGATTGCTCCTCGGGTCAAAATCGGGCAAATCTCCTCCATGATATGCATCAGTCGCAAGGCGAGATTGTGGGCTTTCGGATTTCGGGAACCACCACTGCAATGAGTCACTTGGCATTTCAGTTTAAACACCGGACCTACTTAAGGGACTTCGATCTTGGGAGTATGAGGATCTCGGAAACACGGTATTTTGGAGTTCGCGACTGTTGGAGTAGCCGTCTTACGGCTTCAACTTTCCATCAATGCCTCGCAATGTTGACTATAAGCTGCGGCGTTCGTAACGTTCGGGCACCGATGGCAAGTATTCCGCTAATCTACTATCTACTGTTGTGTTTTGCACCGGAAGCTGCAACAATCAGGAAGTTTATCTTCGAGGAAGTGCGTCGCGGTGTACCTGTGCTCCTAGATCTCCAGGCCGTGCACTTGATGTGCAGCGGCGTGCCCAAGCATCGAAGTTGACCACGGACCTGGCAGCACGGGGAGGTGGGTGCACATGTTGCCTCTGGGCACAATCTTTCTGACCGTCCGGGTGCCGAGATGCAAACTGAACTTGGAAGAACCCGGCTCCCCGGGAACGATAATTGCGATCCCGTCACTGCGAAGAAGACGAGTAGGAGGAGAATAAAAGCGACTCGGCATCTTCCAAACTTACACCCCAACCCAGCGACTAACTTCAGAACTCGAAACCCCAGGTAGCCATGTCCCGAAAGGTTAAGGATAAGCAACTATGCTCAGAGAAGCTACAACTTCAGAACTTACTAAACCTTACCTTTGGTTAGTAGAGAATGGAGGAATGGGGTACAATTATAACTACTATTACTACCATTCTTCCATTCCCTACTAACCCAAACTCTAAACCCTAAACTCTAAACCCTAAACTCTAAACCTTCTTCCATTCCCTACTAACCAAAGGTAAGTATCTTCAGAACTTGCGCCCGATGCCTGGATCGCGATGCGATTGCAGAGCGCCTCTGCCTGGAACATAAATGGATAGTACCTATAGTCTCCATTAAGGGATCCTACTATTTTAGTGTACTATATAAGGGTCCCCATTTTAAGGGTTCCTTAAAGGGATCTATAAGGGTTCTATATAGGGTTTATGGACTTAACCGTTTAGGGTTGGGTTTAGGGTTTAGGGGTTGCTATAAGGGTTACTATAAGGGTTACTATAAGATCCTATAAGGGTTACTATAAGGGGAACTATAAGATCCTATAAGGGTTATATACTATAAGGGGAACTATAAGATCCTATAAGGCTTACTAGAAGGGGAACCATTGGGGCTTAATATAGGGGCCGTGCACTTCACCTATAGTCTCCATTGTAGTTCCTTTTTGGGGTTGCCTTATAGGATCCCAAGTATGTATTTGGTTAATCTAGAATCCCAAATATATATTTGGTTAAACCAAAAAAAGGAACCGCAATGGAGACTATAGGTACGTTGCGGTGCGGGCTGTACAGGCATGCGATTGTAGTTGCCGCCCCGTCCACCCAACTTATCCGAACTTGAGATTGAAGATGATTGCAAAGTGGCCGAAATGTTTCGGAGAAGATGTGGCTGCTGAAGCGGAACCCAGATGTTATGAAGTATATCTGCCGCCGGCAAAAAGAGTCCCCCCACAAACACCAAGAGTCTTGGATAGATAAGAAGTGCTAGGACCGCTAGGACAAACCCATTCCCCACATCGGATGACAGCAACGGGGATGAAAAGCGTAAAGCCTAAGAAGCAGCAAGAGAAGAAGAACGAAATCAAGTGTTGAAGCTCTCCCCCAGCACCTTACATTAAAGCCGTGTGATTCTTGAATCTGAACACGACGAACTTCCGAACTCAAGGCCGGTATGCAAGCTCTATCACTGTATCTCTCTCTCTCTCTCTCTCTGCCTCCCTTCGAAAGCCCGAGCTAATCCTGACCACTTCTGCCTCCTCCATGGAGTGGGTCGTCAAGACCACTGTTTGGTCACGCGAGCGCATACGGATCACCTGATGAGCGGAGAAGCAAGGCGCAGCGATTAGGAAGCGGTACTGCCCTTTTTGGCTTTGGAATTTGAACCTCTCCCTTCGGATCTGTCGCTTGTGGCCTTCCACAGGTGCCGCTTGGCACCAGCGTCCACAGCTGCACTGGGCTCGTCCAGGAAGAGCCTCAGTGGGAACTCTGGGGCCTGCATTCCAAGACCTCCAAAAAACCTTTGCCCTAAATCCTAAACCCTATAACCCTAATCCCTAAACCCTAAATCCCTAAACCCTAAATCCCTAAATCCCTAAACCCTATATCCCTAAACCCTATAACCCTAATCCCTAAACCCTAAATCCTAAAACCCTAAATCCCAAAACCCTAAATCCTAAACCCTAAATCCTAAGCCCCAAACCTCGGCTCCCCGGACTCTAGGGCCACTCTGGTTCCCCATCTGCGAACTTCGAAAGCCCCAGCCCGCTTCGGCATCCGACAAAAACCAAAGACAGCAAAGCCACCTGGGGCTCGCAGTTTTTGTAAAACATACCTTAACCTGCCAAAACCTACTTTTTGTAGGGCCCCTATCAATTCCATATTAAGGTTTCTATTAAGAACCAACAAAAAGTAGGGTTTGGTAGGTTAAGGTACTCAAGGCTACATCTCAGAGCCGAAGGCCCCAGCACCCAGAGTCGCTAAACCCCTAAAACTTAAACCCTCAGCCCTAAAACCCAAAGCCACACGTCTTTCAGGTTCGGAGCAAAGGAGATCGGCCGATCAGGGCGATGGCGAGGCTCAGCTTGCCTTTTAGGATTTCGGCGTTTAGGGTTTAGGGCTTAGTGAACTCCAATTTGCGGATTCGGGGTCTAGGGATTTAAGTACTAGGCTGCCTTGTAGTAAGCCTAAACGGAAGCCTAGTCCCTGGTGGAACTCCTTGGGCTTTGGACGTAGCTTCAACACTTCCTGGTTGAAGGACTCAAGCTTCGAGCGAACGGTTTTCCGGGTTCCTGGATTACGGATAAAGGAAAAAGGCTACTGTGGGGGCATCAATAATTCGAATGGGGTTTTGTAGTATAATTATTATACTATAAGAATACTGTATAGGGACTACAACAGGCCACCAGCTACAGGCCCCGATGTTACATGGTTTGGGGTTAGGCTTTGCCGGGGTCAGTGTGGGCAAGGCCGCTATGGCAGAAAGCCAAGCCAGAATAGCAACGTGCTCCTCCAGTGGCATAGCTAGACGACACCACGGCAATGATCATCATTATGATGAGACGTGAACCCGCAGTCGAACTAAACCAACTCAGGCACAACCTTCACTGAGTGAATCCTGTCTGCGGGATCCTGGTTCCTCAAACTCTGAGAAAATCGAGAACCTGCGCCACTGCGAAGCTCCCTCCGGCCATCTACGTAAAAGAAACACCACTGCCCGGTCTGAGGTCTCAGCGCTTCATTCCGCCACTGTACCTCAGCGGCAGCCCAACAGGAGACCCCAAACCCTCAACCTATGAAAGGAGGCACAGGTTCTCGGGTTTGGAACTCAGGGCCAGGGTAATCATGGCGAGGCAATTCAACCCTGAATCTGTTGCAACGAAAGTTTGGCATTTCGGGTCAAGAAACCCTAAACCCCAACCTCCCTAGCCTGGCACCCCATGCCAAATCAGCGGCGTCTTGTCTAATGGGTCCCCAGCATAGGTCCCTTCACATTCAGGCCTACAGCAAAACGACGAGTGCCGGGCAAAACCGAGGATCCCGACATATCCCGACCCTGGAACAGCACAAAATCACATCCGAGCCGCTCAAAACCTGGCCCGCCCAGGCAACTTCCGGGCTTGAAGCTTCGGGTTTACACATGTGGAGCTGAGATTCGATCCCATGCCTACTACTTACTCGACGTATAGGTTCAAAGTAGCCAGCGCTCGTACTTTAGTGGGGCAGCGTGGCATCATCGTAACAGTATATATCCTATTGCAATACTCGTACCAGCACTGAAGTAGCACATTGGAGACACAGCCATGGCCGTCGTCATGCCAACACTCACACAAGTATAGTCACACAGACGCAGTACTCGCATCAGTTGTGACAACGAGCCTTGACTAATGCATGGTCACGATGCAACTGTCACCATATTTGATGTTGCCGGCAATGCGAGGCTAGAAATGAGACAGGAGTCATTGAGGCACTCATACAAGTTTTGCAGGTGCTACTGAATTGTAAACTTGTCGCCGGCCTGGCAAGACATGTCTCGACGAGAGCCTTTTGCTGAGTCACCGGCCGCTGAAATGTCAACGTCTGTTGTTGTTGGTCTGTCCTTTGTTGTTGGTCTATCCTGGCCATGCCTTGAGCTCTTTGCGTCTCGAAGGAGGCAACTGCACAAGCGACCAGCATTGCAGCGAATCTTTCACTGCCTGTTTAGTACCCAACTCACATGGCCCCATTGGTGTTGCGCTGTTTTCGCAAGCTCCCTCAGGTGTAAACCCATACTGAATTTGACCGATGGGACTGCGAAGCTGGCTGCTGCCAGCGCTGCAAGTCCAGCATCTCCGACCCGGTAAGATTTGAAGAGCTCGAAATTGGTCAAGTTCTTGCATTCCACGACTGCTGCGGCAAGGGCTTCTGCGCCAGCATCTCCGATATCGTCACTCTCGATCGAAATCGCTGACAGCTTCTCGCAATTCACAATTGCAGTAGCAATTGCTGTAGCACCCGCATCCATAAGCCCATCACCACGCACTTCCAGTCTGACGAGCTTCTCCGGACGAAGGAGTTCAAGAACATGTGCAAGTTCGACAATGCTAGCTCCAAACCTTTGTGAAGAGTTGATGAGGCTGAGATGTGTTAGATTCACGAAATGCGGCAGGGCGCTGCCCAAGATCACTATCTCTTGCTGGGGCAGGTTCGACGCCGTGAGCTTTGTTCGCTTCCTTGCATGCTCCAGGAAAACAAGCTCCTGCAATTGAGACACAAGCTCGGCATCGGAATGGTGAGTAAACTTCAACACCAGACCGTCCGCAAGTCCCTGCTCGCCTCGCGCCACCCGCTCCTGAAAAATTGCCGGAACCATTGGGGAAAAGCCATCAAACACCTCCTGGCAGCTCATCCATTGAACTTCGGCAATACACCACCCTCGCATGGAGTACAGCGTGCCGTTTAGGACCAACTCACCATATGGCCGCGGCTCGAACCTGCCAGTGTTTTCACAATATATGCTGATGGAGCCAGACGTCGACTTCTGGCTTTCAGGCGTCAGCTCCTCCAAGCGAATCACACGACCGATGTACTCGTGCGCGTAAAGCAAATGCATGGACCTCATGGCCCTCTTGAAGAATTGCTGTTCCTCCTCACTGCGCTTGTACTGAGGCAAGCACATAAAGTCAATGAATACCCAGAACTCAGTATTGCATTCACGCCGTAAAAACAGCAGTGTTGCAGGACTGAGCGCAAGAACAGTACTGCTACTCTGCAGATGCTGCAAGAGACTCTGGAGTTGCCAGCCCCATGGGTCGGGATGTTGCTGGGACTCCCATGTGTGCGACACAGACAGGATGATTCGGTCTCCCCCCCCCTCTCCGAATCGCAACCTCGGATTCCGGATTTCCTCCATCGTCACTAGTGCCGTACGGATCTTGCCATCGAAATCCTCGAACTCTTCTCCGTCTGCCTCTTGTCGTCGTGGCCAGACCCGACCGGCCTCCGCAAGCTTGTAAAGGTACTCTAGGCGCACCAGTCGGATGTCGGCCTCGCGCAAAAAGTTCTTGAGACATTTCGGATCTGTCAAGCTCTCATCCTTTGTGTCCCCTGGTCCTGCCGCTGTCTCGCCTCTTGCTTGGACAGAAGTCTTTGCAGGAGCTTTCTCTGGGTCGCTAGCGTACGGTTTCGACAAATCTGAAAACTCCTCTCCCACGGGCTCCGCTGTATTCTCACCTGTGCATGCGTAAGACTCCATAGCAAGGCACGACCGCCTTATTTCTGTGCGGAGACCTAACTCTTTAGCTTCCGGTGGCTATCTGCAGTTCGCCGGTTGTTCCGCTCCGAGACTAGTCTGAAACATTATATATCTACCGAGTACATTATATACAGTATGCATGCTTTTTGTGGTCCTACTTCTACTAACCTATTTCTATCTGGTATGTTATGTATTTGTGGCCTGCACCGCGATTGTGCCTGAACGACTCCCACAAACTCCATCTGCTTACCGACTCGGAACTTCGAGAGCTGTTTCTCATCGGCGAGCCCCGGAAGAGCCACACAAGTCACAACTTGAGATGAAGGCAAAAGATCGTGTATAGCACCTGAAATATTCTGAGCCCCAAGTATTGGAGGTGAAAGCTAAAGCTATACATCGTGGATGACCGATGAGCTGCAGCAACAGCTGGGTGGCCGACTCTACGGCTTTTCTGTCGGCATCCTGTCCTTACCAGACTCGGATTTACGGTTTAAGGGTTTATGGTCTGGGGTTTATGGACCTTACCAGATTGGGGTGTAGGACTGTAGGATGAGACACCCGCGGAGCTTGTCTTCAGTCAGAGAAGAGGAGTAATGGGACCCAGATTTAGCAGGCAGCGGATATACGGACTTTGGGAGACCCTAAACCCTTTTTTGAGCACGGGCTTTGGTTGTATGCCGGCAAGCTGGGCCCTAAACCCTAAACACTAAACCGTAACCCCTAAAGGAAATGAGATCACTTCTTCTTGAGGGCCCTCCAGCAAGGCGAAGGATGCTAGACACTTTAGGGCTTTTCAGTCACTATCGCCTCCGTGTCCGTGGTCCTGTTACTGTGGCTCCGATGGGCTCCAGGCAGCACAACATTCTGGAGGTGCTACATATGTATGTATATGTATATATACAGAAACTGCGGGCAGGTCTTTAGCACCGAGTCGGTACTATATACTTGGGGCATCTTGGGGCCGTAGAGCTTGAAGTTTTAGGGGTTTAGGGTTCAAGGGTATGTGCCCACCTGTTGCTGACCAGCAGCGGCCTCTGCATCCGCTTCTACTCACCTAGAGTCTACCAGACGGCTTCTACTCTTTTAGGTTCCAGCGACAAGAGAGGCAGCCAACATAATACCGATACTCAACTCAGCGGCACCAGATATAAGTTGAAAGAACAGCAAATACCCAGCACCAGCCTGAGACAATGATGAAACTTAAGCTGTTTCTATCGCTTGTCCGTATCTTCGGTCAAGCTCTGAGCCACATCATATCACGTGATACAACTAGAAACGGCAAGAGCACAGTCAACTCGTTGGACTTTAATTCGAACCCAGCACAGCAGTACGACATGTACCCCATGCGTAACCCGAAATATTAGGGCTTAGGGTTTAGATGGTTTAAGGGGTCCATACGAGTCTTCAAGCCTTTAAGCTCCAATTAACTCTAACACCTACAGCAAACCTGTCTCTGAGGTCACGGCCGTCGAGCCCCAACCGGTAAAGGAGACTGTTCACACGGGCATTAAGCTCGGCCTTCCAGCTTGTCAGTGGGTGCTCTATATAAAAAAATATATATATAAATGTAATATACAATGACGATAACAGATATGTATATATGTATATGTGTCTATATAATTAGAACAGGGTATTGGAGCCCATTATGCTATTCTTGTCATAAGCAACAATTAGTTAGGCCCCCATATTTTCTGTTGTCCGGCTGATTCTGCCCAGGACTCTCGTCAGTGGGTTTTTTGCATTCACCAGGCAACACTCTATTGCTTCCGATTCAAAACCGATAAGCACTTGCTTTCACTGGAACTCAGTGGCTGAATCGAACAAAGATCTAGGCTTTAGGGCTGGGGGTCACTCAGCTGCATCACCAATTCGAAGCCAGAAGCGTTCTTGACTGTCCGGCGCGATCCAAAATTTGGCATGTGAGACAGTGAGACCAACAGCTGACAACAGCTTCATAGTCTCGGAACTCAAGTCACGTCCTGGTGCTAGAATCGAACCAGAAGCAATGGGGTCCAGCACAACTCTGTACAGAGTCAGGAGGTGGCAGACAATCACACGGCCCGGATCACCCAAATCGATAGGAGCCCCAAGAGGGCAAACCAAAGCCCTGCAAGGAGCAGGGGCCAAAAAAGTGAAGGGGATGCTTCGCTCTGCGGAGCGGGCTGCGACTCGGTCGCGGAAGCCTCGGTCGTGGCACCCTGGGACTTGGCTTTCTTGGGCTCCAAGGGGTGCAACTCGGGGCCTTTTCCGGGCCATCCCACGACCTCAAAGGCCTCCACAGGGGAGGGGTTAAACTGCGCGAAGTCCACGGTTGACCTTCCATCTGAAGTGCGCTGCTGGTTATCTGCTCGAGCACAAAGCAGGGACCTGATGACGTGCTTCGAGCCGCGCTGCGCTGCCAGGTGGAGTGGGGTGATGCCATTCTCATCCGAAGCATTCGGGTCGGCTCGCTGCCTGCAGAGAAACCGGGCCAAGAGCAAAATCTGCTCTTGGTCCGGTCCAGCTAGTACGTGGTGCAGAGCTGTGCGACCGAAGTTATCCAAAGCTTCACAGCACCAAGAACCTGCATCCTCCTCCGTGACGGCTCCAAGCATCTCCTGCACCGTGGAGAGCTTCCCTGCCCTCACAGCATCTTTGAAGGTGTCTGTTTCATCCTCAATGAAAAGGTCCGCATCTTTGCGTCGCACGGGTCGGCGAGGCATGTTGCGATCCGCACCCTTGCTACTCTGAATCCGTTTGGTTTTGGGTTAGGTTCTGGGGCTGCCTTCTACATTCGAAGCTGGATGTGATACCGCATTTCCTGATTAATTAGAGGGCAGATGGATGATGACAGACTCAGAAACCACAGACTACAATCACCTGTCAAACGACTGCAAACATGATGTGCTTCCTGCAATGGCATCAGGGAATGCCCTGTCTTCCGATACTTATTCGAAGCCTGAATGTCTTCCTCAGTCGATGCATGGTGTGACCGTGTGCATCTGGGTGCCGGGGGGTTGTCGGGCTGGGCTTTGTCTCGACATTTAATGCGGGAGGGCGAAAGGGCTCAAGAGGCAGGACTGCACGGGGCGAAACACAGATCAGAAGACTACTATAAGAACAAATCAACCGAACCTCCTTACAAGAACAAAAGGCACTCTGCACCCAACACGTGGCTCTGTTGCCAAATCGTTAAAGCCAGGGCTTATATGGGTTTAGTGTTTAGAACTTAGAGACTTCGAGGGCCATGATGGGTCTCTTGGGGCTGCCTAAGATTAGGCCGCAGCGTCCCCCCCCTTTGAGAATGAAGGTGCTGCTTCTCATTCATCTAGCATCCTAGGATATCCTAGGACTCCGGCAAGGTCCCCGCTGCGAATCGGACATCTAGCCACTCCAATTCAAGAAAGCATCTCCCGAAAGGCTTCCTGGGCAACTGGTTCAGTTTCTGTTCCAAAAAGCCCTTAGATCTTAGGTGATAAACCCCTGAGGCCCTGAACCAAGAGTGCCTCCGGGACGCCCTTGACTCGACCAAAGAACCTTGCAGGGCAAGGGGTGGAAAGTCTCAGCAAACCACTGCTGACCTGCTTACAAGGCCGTTGGGGTACGTTTTTGCATGGCTCGAGAGAGTGGTGTTTGGTTGGAGCCCAGAAGCGTCGAGTTCTGTGCTTACATGGGCAGTTGTCAAAATTACGAACACTTTTTGGGTCCCTTATATATAATACGGCACCTAATATTTAGGGTACCCAAAGAGGGACATAATTTTGACAACCACCCACATGAGAACCAGCCCCTTAGCCAGAAGATCTGGCAGGAAGTGTCCGAATCCTTTTCGATGAAGCTTGCAGACTGTATAGGTGTGGGCTTCTGGCGGTGTTGCGCGGTCGTGCTGCGAGTCTGGCGAAGGTTCAGATGTCCGCAATTCAGGACATACTCTGGCGCATTTTGTGCGCATGCTTTGGGGAAAGCTTCTGCCCTCGTCAGTCAGACGGGCATCTGGCTCAGGAATGAGCATGAAGACCGGTTCGCAGAGATAGTATCAGCAGGATGTGTGGTGAGTAGAGGCCATCATGAAGCAAAGGGCCGTCGAATGATTTTCAGTAAACGTCTGGTAACGGCGGAAGAGTTAAAGTAACCCTGGGCTCCAGATACTTAAATATAGTAGCTCGCTATCCATATAGTATGTAATCCAGCAACACATTACTTAGGCAACTGGAGACCTAGGGAGAGTTAAAGGGTGTGGACCTTCAACTTGCAAGGGTGCAACACTGAGGAGCGAATTGAGCGCTACCTGTGCAGCAATCACTTCCTCTGACTTCTTGGCGGTCAAAGTGATATTGACAACACTGTTGCATATTGTTGCCACTGATACTGTTGCTCTTGCGACTTCTGCTGGGTTGTAGTTTTGGAGGGCCCTGAACAGTATCTCGATAGACTTCACAAGAACCATAGCGGACACCCGAAGTGCCACTTAATATAGGGGCCTTAACACACAGATAGGGTCTTGGGGTAGATGACACAAAAACCTAAAGAGGAAACTCATAATACAATATAGTATTGATAATTTAGGAATTTAGGCCCCTACATTATCCTATACAGGAACCTCCACAGTAAAGTATTGGTAATTTAGGAATTTAGGCCCCTACATTATCCTATAAAGAAACCCCCACAATACAATATTTGAAATTTAGGCACCCCTAAACCCTAATCCCTAAACCCTAAACCCATCATCCCATATTAGTCTTTCATTGCCGGAGAGATCGAGGCTGAGGTCTCGACAGCAGGTGTTCTCGGCCGGACAAGAACTCCCAGAGAGGATCAATCTGCGCAGGGTTTAGGGGTTTAGGGTTTATCTGGATTATAAGGGCTTAGGGGTTATAGGGGCTTAGGGTTTATAGGCTTATAGGGGTTTAGGGTTTAGGGTTTAGGGTTCTGATCGCAACGTCTTGGACTTGCGGCAGCACAATGTGGACGCCTGTGAGCTCCAAAACTCTGAATTTGCACCCCTGCTGGCAGCTTTGGGTGGCACCCCGGCGCAGTGCCAGCCGTATGGTAGATCCGCGACTCTCGCAGAAAAACGCCCCTACATACACATGGGGAATTGCAGAAAACAGTGGACCTCAATACGAAGCCCTGAGCAGCACCTACCTTTCGGAATCCCCATACTGCTCTGGTTTCCGCACTCAAGGCTCGTCCGACGGAGCCTGTCGGTTCAGGGTCAACCGAAATTATTCTATATTCGATTGTATTCTATTCTATCCTCGTATGTTATATAACATTTCATTTTATAAGAGTTGTGCTTATCACACAGCATAGTACATCAGGGGCTGGAAGTGAGGATCTTACTTATGGCGGGACGGTGTGTCAGTAAAGCCAGACAAAGCTAGCGCCGGGATTCAGGTATCCCCCCACTAGATCTAGCCATATCTAGCCCTGAGACCCTTCACAACCAAATAAGCCGCATCGAAACCCGAAGAAAAAAAGCACCTTACGATGTCTCACAACACTCTGGATGTTCCAAGACCTTCCCAGCAACAACGTGAGCCCCGTTCCTACAAACCTTAGGACGTCGAACGCCTCAACCATGAGTTCTATGAGTGGATCTTAACCGTAACCCCAGAAGCCCAAACTCTATGGGATCATTTCCAAAGCGGAGTTTCCGTCTGCCTGCGGGCACACGCCCAAGACTTGGTATGCCTGTTGCCAGGCTTCAGGACTCAGGACGTTAGGGAGTCACACATGGGTTTCGGCACATACAAAACTTACATTTACATACATACAGCCACACAGACAGAGACACAAACACAAACACACATGAAGAGAAACAAACGCTCACAGAAAAAGAGAGAGAGACAGAGAGGATTTTCGGGTCCAGGCAAGGCCTGTGACTTCAAGGCTTGCAGCAGTTGGTCTTCACACTTTTTTGCATGGTCAGGATTTCTAGCGAAGGGTTATTTCAGCAAAATGTTTTGGTGTGATGAAGAGCCCTTGAGGGGGTTGTGGCTATACATCCCAAACTAAATCCGAAAAGCCGCGCTGCATGACAGAATCAATCACAGCCATTTCTGAGGCACGGTTTCGCTGCCACCCTTCCAACTACAGCTACGGTTTTAGGGTTTAGGGTTGCGCATGCAACACGATAGAAGTGAACCACGAAGCCCTGAACCTCAGAGCAGGCGAAAGCCCGAAAGGCACGAAACCGTTGCATCTTTGGGGGTACACAGCTTAAAATAGGAGGGGGCCTGAATAATTCGAATAGGGTTTTGGTGCCCATTATACTCTAATATAAGGAACCCATAAGAAAACCACCAGAATAATGTAGGTAATTGTTTAGGCCCCCGTCTTATGCCTCCAAGCCTCCGATTTCTCCGGTTCCCCACCTCTTCCAGGCCATGAGCAGTCGTGACGTCGTTACCGAGGATCTGGACCTCTTGGTGTTTCCGTTTTGTTTTTTTCCCTCCTACCGTTTTGTGGATACGGGGGTTAGGGGTTCAGGGGGGCTTAGGGGGGTTCAGGTGGGTTTAGGGGTTTCGGCGCTCACACTCGGACAATCCAGGCGAGGTTTAGGGGTTTGCGGGGGTTTAGGGCTTCGGGTGTGCGTCTGGCTCCTAGGCCTCCCTTAACCCCATAAATAACCTACCTTTTTAGGGACTTATTTAAAGAAATCATATCAGGGGGCCCTAAAAAGGTAGGCTCCTTAGGGTCCAGGTAGAGTTTCTGGCTTCAGAGAAGGCTCTCGCACCTTGGACAGGCCAGGGCGGAGGTCCCGGGATTTGTGGCTTATAGGGTTTGCCACACTCCAAACCCCATAGCCAAAAACACTGAGAGAGGTCCAAAGAGGAATGCGCAACACGAAATTCAAGCGTTAGGGTACATATTTCAGGACCCCAGGTGTTATAAACCTACGGTGTCTTAAGCCGACCGAAGCATGCTCTACAAAGAAATAGAACAGGGAACCGAAGCATTCGCTCCTGGTGCTCTCTTGAACATCGTAGTAGACGACATCCCTAGCCTCACTCGAGTTCATCAGATGTGCACGCCCAAATACTAAACCATACACGGCCGAAACCTAGACCCTACACCGTGGCGCTGATGGATGAGTCGACCTTTTCAGGAACGAGCCGCAGACTGATCACACACAGCGATCCTGCGAATTAGATGGGTCAGACATTAAAGAGTTCAATGGCCGATGCAATGTCACTGTCAAATTCGCACTACCTCGTTGCGTATGAATTGAGGGCTCTCTGCTCTGGGTCGGTCCCGGGCTGCGCAGCCATCGCTGTAAGTCGATGCTCGGCGTAGTGTTCGGCCTGCGCTAGGAACATGAACTTCCTGATGAAGTAGGGAGCTCTGCCGGAACGATTCGGCCTTGAGTATTTCGTGAAAGTCAATGAGGTAGCTCAAATTCATGATCTTCTTTCCTCGGATGCTTCCTTTTGCCCCAAATTCCCACCCTTCCCAGCCTAATCCTGGATAGGGGTGAACTCAAAATAACTTTCCTACTAAAAGTGCTGCAAAGATCTGTCAAGCCTCGATACATACCCCTTATAGTATCCCTAATAGGACCCTATTCTAAGAACCCTTTACGGGAACCCTCTTCTAATCTGCCAAGCCTCGATACGTGTAGAAAGCCCTCTCCCATGTCCGCTTGCTCCCTTCGATCTCCGGAGCTTCCGGAAGAGACTCCTCCCCAAGCCTGGGTTCTGCTACAAGGGATTCATAATTCAAGCTGGGTTCCTTTAAGGGAGCCATAAGGGTTCCTTAAATATTCAATTTAAGTTACCATATTGAGGAAACCACATTATTTACTATAGATCCCTATTAGGGTAACTTAATATATAATTCCTTAACAAGAACCCAGCAGCGTTAACCAAGCTTCAACCATGCTCCGCGTGTTGAAGAAGGCCTCAACGCGCTCGTGCTCCCGTGATTCTTGGAAGCACTTCAGCACGAAGCGCCTCTTCTCCAGGGTTCCCACCGAGACCATGGCTTTCAAGACTTCTGTCTGTTCAAACCGCAGCGAAGAGACGTATGGACAGCCATAGTCACAAGACTACGTCGTCATCCATGCAGGCGCTGATACTGGACTCTGGCATGTTGTGTGCCCGTGATGCCCGTGTCAATACTACTGAGGAAGCCAAAGGAGCTGCGGTTTGTGCCCTGCAGATCAGTAGGAGAGCACAACAGCAAAGGAGGGGCCTCGAAATGCGGTGGCATGATGACTATCGGGCAAAGTTTGCCTGTACAGCTGTGGTGCCCGACAGACATACTATAGAATACTGCAAGACCACGCTAGGATTGTCCTTGAAAACGACATAGCTGGTGATACGACGATTGCGGATAGCGGCCACTACTAGATACTGCTACTACAAGCACGATGCGACTCCTGCTGCAGCCTCGTAGTACTGCCACTTCCATTCTATGCAATAACACCACTTTCACCGGTAGCTAGTATTACTGCCGCCACCACCAACACCACCACCACCACCACCACCACCACTACGACGACGAGCACAGCGACGACTACGATAATAAGGCGGCGAGGGCCTCTGCTAACGCTGGCTAGAATCACGAGTACGGCGACTTAATGCGATGCCACTCGGCCTTGTTGCCTCCGCTCTTGGGCATGTGATTGGCATTCCAACGACTGCAAATGCTTCTGCTTCGTATTGTTCCGTGGCTATACCCGAGACCCAGAGTCCAAAACGTTTTAGGAAAGTGGGCCTAGGCCGAAGTGTCGAAGCCAAGCGGTAGGTCAAAACAACATCAGCTCTAAACCCCAAAGAGGCTCTGGAAGCGGCTGACCTGGCCCGCTGTTGGCGGTCGCACTTCGCCAGTCCTCAGTTTTCGCCAGGTGTACATTGGGGTTAAGATCGGATATCGGAAGGCTTCGTTGCCCCCCCCCCCCCCCCCACGCCGGCCATAATCGCGCAAAGCGAATGTGATGTATGGTGGTTCCGAGGGATGGACAGCGAGCCTGTCCCAAAACAGAGCTACCGAGAAGTCCTCAACCCGGTCTTCAACCCCTAAACCCCAAAACCGCCCGCGCACGATGAAGCCCACGCATGTAGCAAGGCGCTAGGATTTGGGATGTAGCTGTTGTCTTTGATCATAGGGCAATCCTAAAGGATCATATATTGCAACCTGAGAAGAATCGTCACAAAAGGCTGTAGCATTCAGCTGTTGGTTCAGTTCTTGAGGTTTCTGGACATTCGCCAATCGATCGGCCCTTTTTCATCCCGCCATCATTCTCGATGCCGCATAGCTTCCGGGAAGTGGGGTTCGCGAACAAGATGCAGGATTAACGCTTTGAGCTTCTGGCCCTTAGATACCGTGCCTTGAGAGTCACATCTTTATTCGCTTAGAAACTTTCAGATTGCCTTTGGCAGTCGGCGGTTTCAGGTGCGTCGCCCGGAGCGGCCTCGTCAAGAATGGGCGACGCGACAGCTCGCGCTCTTGAACACAACATCTACTGCTTATTCACCAAAAGCTGCATCGCTAATAGTAGACGTAAGGAAAGCCCCATACCATACGCCGCCTCTCAGCTTCCAGGGGCCCGAGGCATTTGATCCATGGATGTCTTCTCCGGTTTGCAGGGTTCAGCGATTCAGCGGAATCATTCTGATAGGTTTTTCGGGCGTCGTGTACCGGCAGGCCACACCCCATCCGTGTGACGTGCTAAGCATCCCCTCAGCTGCCTGACCGAATGCTTGGAGTCAAGATTGAGCTTTCCAGTAAGGTATGTGTGTTGTACACCATGCTACGCCACTGAGTAAGCCCGGCTTAGTAAACTCATCGATGGTCGTCGTGAGGTCCAAGCCTTTTGCCAATGAGGCAGGTGTGTGAATGCTTTGTCCGGCTCTGTGTGCCTCACACAGGCAACCTCCGATCTTGCAGATGGACATACAGGATTCTGAGGTTCGACTTATAGGGTTAAGGGTTAGGGTGTAGGTGAGTAAGGCCTGGAGTGGCGTCATTTGAAGGTCTCCTGTGGCAGGAGTTCTCTGTCAATGCCCAGCTCAAACGCTCCATCTAGGAAGCCATCAACTGCCGCAAAGGGCTTGAGCTCAGAGTCTGGATATGCAGGAAGACATGCATATACATTTGTGTAAAAGCACATATATTATGCATACGGATAGGGTAATGGTGCTTTGACGTTATTTGACTCAGTTGCTTGGTTCATAAGCCCCCCAAAAGTGTAAACTTTCAGTTTTATAGTGGGAAATAGGGTCCCGAAAAGTGTAAAGTGTATCCACCCAGCTACTAAGTTGAACGGTAGTTATACCTAACTGGTTAGGCTGAGCCTGTGTACTGAACGGCTCTTTCTCGATCCTGCTGGCGTGTGCTGCATGAATCCTGCCGGTGCCTGACATGTGGCGACTGTTGCGTCCACGACTCGTCATGACACCATGTACCAATTAAATGACTCAGCTCACTCCTTGACCCACAGATCTACATGCCCTAGCTCTGCCAGGCGATGATCATCCCTGGTCCCTGCTTCCGGGCAACATGCGTGTGGATAGCAGGCGAAATAGCACCTACGGTAATATTTAGTGCAGCCAGGCCAGAAACACTGCCATCATACCAAACTCTGACAGCAACTGGAGCGCATCGAAGCCCTGCTGCCGGAGTTCTGTGGCACTGAACCCGGCGATTCGCAGATCTGAGACGGTTGCTGCAGGAAGGTTGTTCGGAAGAAAGCCGCGTGTTTTGAAGCTCCGAAGCTGATAGGTATCAGAGAAGTTGATCATAATGCGATCGAAGCCTGCTGCCTCAAGTTGTTGGCGAAAGAACCTTGCATGTGCGAGCTGGCCGGCCGTAAATCCAGCTTCACGAAGCTCTGCGGCAGAAAACCCTGACTCTTTAAGTTCAATCGCAGAGAACCCCGCCCCACGAAGCTGAGTGGCCGTAAACCCTCCGACAGTGAGATCAGAGGCAGAAAACCCTGCCGCGCGAAGCTCGGTGGCTGTGAATCCTAGCAAGCTGAGCTCGTAAATGAGCGTCGCGGACTGAGCACCTCGTCCCCGCAAGTCCTTCGGAGTAAACTCTGCTTGGATCAGCTCCGCTACTGTCACACCTTGACGTAGAAGGGACAAGCCGTCGAAGCCTGCATGCTTCAGCTCTTTGGCAGTATAGCCTGCCTGTCTGAGCTTGCTCAAGCCGAGATGCTTGAGCTCGTGGGCCTCCACCCCGGCTCGCCAGAGGGATTCAAGAGTGGCTCCAGCCTGAAGAAGCTCATCCACGCAGTATCCAGCATCGACGCAGCTGTCGACTCCGAAGCCATAGGAGATCAACTCTGCAGCAAACACACCAGCACTCCGAAGAGCAGGCAGCTCGAATGACATCGCCACCATCATTCGAACAAGTGCTAGCCGGTGCCTCTCGTCTACAGCTATGAAGGGGAGGCTTTGCTGCGATGGGCTGTCACGAACAAGGCGCAGCCATTCAATCAAAGGCATAAAAACCTCGGGAGAATAGTCAACAAAGAAATTGCCACGGTCATCTAGACAAAGCTCCCAGCGACCTGATAACAAAGCAGAGAGCTTGTTGTCTCCGACCACGCTGAACAATCCACGGTGGACTTCGATAAGCCTTTCACCACCGATATTGATGCGAACGGTCTGCGTTGTCGGTTGAGCCTGGTCACTCCCGGAAATGCCCGGGCGAGCGGGCAAACAAACATCAGCCATCGAAAGGTAGGTAAAGAGTTGAGCCAAAGCCTCATGACAAAACTCAATGAACCAGTGATCAGCACAACACATCACGACGCCACAAGGCCTGCGTGGTGGTAGTAGGCTTATGTAAAGTTCGGGGTACCGGGACTTCAGCAGCCAGGGCCTTTTAATGAGCTGGTGGCCGGCAGTGGCAAGATGATTTATGAACTTCGAAAGCACAGCAGTCATCTTGATAAACAAGCACCTGAGTAGCAGCACCCAGGTATTTTTGGAAGTAGCCGTAAATACCGAACACATCATGGACAACTCCACGCCCTTTCAACCCTGAACGCATAAACCGTAACACCTCCTGAACCCTAAACCCTTTAAACCCTCAAAACCCCTAACACCACCCCCCTAAACGTTGAACCCTGAACCTAACCCTAAACCCTACAATATAACCCTAACACCCCCCCCAAACAAAGCGTGAAGAACCGACCCGACCGCCTCAGGAGCCTCGACCGACTCGGGAGCTGAGAACCGGCTTCCCTTGCGATGCTTTGGGGGCTTAGGGTTGAGGGGTTTGAGGGTTTGGGGCTCAGGGCCCTCCTACATGGCAAGGGCGAGGCCCGCATTCCAGCGTAGTTCAGGTAGGGTTGAGGGGTTTGGGGGTTAGGGGTTTGAGGGTTTTATGGGTGGGTTTAGGGTTGGGGGCTTAGGGTTCGGGGGTGAGTTTAGGGGTTTAGAGCTTGAGTTATGGGGTGCAGGGCTTAGCGCTTAGCTAGGGTCCTACAACACAGACAATAGGCATGTTGTTTTTTGCTTATAATAATGAACCCCCAAATTGTTAGGTACTCATTTAGGCTGCCACATTAGATTCTTAATTCTATTTAGGTGCTCCTCGAAAAGGCCTTGCAGCGCTTCGTTGGGGGTCTGCCGGGGTTTATTTTCGGTGTTGTTGGGTGCTTTAAGGTTTCGGCGGGTGAGGACTCCAGGGTTTTGGTGTTTAGGGAGTTTGAGGGCTTCAGATTCGCAAGGCCTACATTTAGAATCCTAGTTTCGTTTTATTAGCCGGACCTCTCTCACGGAGAGCTTAAGGGTTCGCAGTCTTGCTTATGAGTGGATACCCATCACCTATCCATTAAAGATGCGGGAGATGGAAAGTACCCCTCCCAGCGTGTTACCGAGACAAGAGCACAAAGCAAGAACAGGGCACAGTGTTCTTACATACCAGTTTAACGAGTTCACCTACAAAACTAAAATAATAGGAGGAGAGGGATTATGGGGTGTGGTGGGTTAGAATACACTGATATGCGGACTACATTGTTTCTAGCATTTGGCTACCGACACTGCTGCAAGTGCCGGAAAAGTCTGAGCTTCTGATCTGCAGGTATTTGCGTTGTGGGAGGAAGGTAATTTGGGCTATTGGGCTTACAAGGTTTTTGGGAATTTGGTGGTATTGCCCATGCTACGGAACCTCGAAAGAAGGACCTAACAAGCCTCTCAAACCCCAGCCCCATCAAGCTGCCTTTCAACAGCTCTTCTGGCAACGTCGAGTTCGTTCCCAGGGCTTCCAACTCGAAGGCCATCAGCTGCCTGTCACGACACGCTCGGGGGATGCAGGTTCAGGGTTGAAGGCTTAGGCATTCAGCTCGTCGCATTTAAAGTCTGTGAAATGGTGCATTTCAGGGTGTAGATGTACTTTTGCCCTTCCTTCTCGCAGATAGCTACGGTGGAGAAATGAAAGCCCGCGGGCGCCAGCTGCTTTACATATCTGGTGATGTATTTCGTCAAAGCAGGATAGCTTCGAGAGGTGTTAAGGGGCTGGGTGCTCGATCTTGGGTTTTGTCCAAAGTAGATGCTCTTGTTGATTCCGCTGCTTTCACTCCGACTCCACATTGGCTTCGGGAGCAGGTCTATCAACTTCACTGGGAAGGAGTCGCCAGATAAGCTCCATGATCTCAAACCCCAATCCGAATGAATGTGACATCCATGATTGCAGGAGCCTCAAGAATCCTGCGTTCGGGCGGGCGATCGGGCGCTTGGACTTCACATACATAAGCGCATCGGCGAGAGGCGTCTGCCTGAAGAGAGGGCTCTGCAAGCTGATTGATGCTGAAAGCTCATGTGATGTAAGGTCGTTATTTCTGGGCTCACAGCAACAAAACCTGAAGTAGCCATGCACAAGTTTGCGGGAATCGTGACTATGTCTGCCCTGCCTCAACCAGTGCTTACTGCTCGCTGGATCTATCTTGCCGATGTGGCTGTTTCGCTTTGGGATGCTATGTTGCTGAGGCCCTGAAGAGCTTGCATTGTGCACCGACCTGCAGCGCGTGCAGGGCTTGGGTGTGGTGCCGAAGCGCCGTGGGGACAGTAGTTGAGTTAGACCCCGAAAGTCTCGCAACTAAACCCCCAGCTTGACCCAAACCCTAAACCCTAAGTGTAGGACCCCTGCCAGCCAACGCTGCTTGGAGCGAATTTTGCTTGTTGTCAACCTCTCCCAGACTCCCAATGCCAGTCCAGGAGGCAAGCTAGCCTTACTTCTGGGATGGCTCAGGGTGCAGGGCCATTCTACGGCTACTATACGACCCTTTAAACCTAAGCCTCGAAAGCCCATAAACCCTGTCAATCCCAGGCCGACCGTCTAAACCTGTTAGACCCAAAAGCCATCCTAAACCTTTATAGTAGAAGCCAGAAAGTTGGAATATGATTATCCTAACCCTTCTATGGTAAATTACAGGGTATCCTACCATGAAACCATATTCCAACTTTCTGGAGTTCCCTGTAAACCCCTAAACCCGAAAAGCCATAAACCCTGAAACCCTCAAGCCCTACTACAGCACTACAAACCTCTAAACCCCAAAACCCTACAGCCCTTTACCTCTATCAATACTGAGCTTTGAACCCTAGCATAAATTATAATTTTTGCCGTTTCTTAGGGATTAGAATAACCAAAAAATATAAATTATTTCTGAGTACCCTTAATTAATTGTCCCACCTGAAGATCAAATAGGCCAGGCAAACGGACACTGACCGACTCTTGCCTCGCAGCTGTCACTTTTGGGCTTTTGCGCGTTTCAGATGGGCGGTTGTCAAATTTATGGTTCCTTTTTGGGTAAGTATTATAATACGGCACCTGAAATTTAGGGTACCCCAAAAGGGGACCATAATATTGACAGCCACCCAGATGTTACACGCATGTTTGGATTGGCTTTTAAGTTTGAAGGTTTGGGGGGTTTGGCGGCTTCAGGGGTTTAGGAGTTTACAGGTTTTGGGGCCTCTCTTGTTCTTTTTAAACTGGTGCTTTCTGGTAGATTCTATTTGTGTTTAGGGCCTCTTTTCCGTCTGCACGGGAGTCCATGCCACTAGTAGATTGTTTGGGTTCAGCGCTTGAGGAATTCAGGGCTGAAGAGTTTAGGAATTGCTTCTAGGCCAGTCCAAAACAAAAGCCTAATGTAGAACGCACTAACTATATAGGGTTTGGTGGTACATTGTATTTACGCTAATATACCGAATGAATATAGCAATACTGACTAATAAGGCCCTATATGCAGGACAGTTTGCATCTTTGCACCCAAATCCTGAACCCATCACATGCAACCCTGAACTGTACACCGAACAATCAAACCAAAACACACATCGGAGTTCCTAAGCCCTCTGCAATCTAAACACTACCTGGACCCCCAAAGTATGTGGAATAACAGCCTTTTCTGGGTATTGGGTCATTATTTTACATACTTTGGGCGGTTTAGGTACTTAACAAAAACAACCTCGAATCCTTCAGGGCCGAGGCGTTACACAATCGCCAATCTTTCTTGGGAGCAAGAAGACCAGGCCACCTTGTTATACTCTCCTTCTATGAGGCAACTTGGGTTTAGGGTTCAGGGTATGATGACAATAGGTCCCAGTCTCCTTCTATGAGGCAACTTCTGATGACAATAGGTCCCGGTCTAAGGCTATCCGAGCGACCTTCGTGGCAGTGGACAAGAACCTTTCCTCCAGCTTCTTCTGCCTCTGCAATGACCTCTTGGTTGTTGATTTCATAAGCCCCAAAAAGTTTAGAACTTCAGTTTCCCAGGAAGCATTTCCCAAAAAGTCTACGTAAAGTATTCTCATTGAGGTGCATAAGACCTGGCGTGTCGGGCGTTCGGGCTGAGTCTTGCGACACGGTTACTGGTCAGACACCAAGACATCCAGAATCGGCGTTTGGGCGCAAAGGCAACCCCAGCTTTCAGAGCCACGGTTTAGAGTTTAGGGTACAGTTGGTTCATTCTTTAGGGTTTAGAACCAGTCCCACCTGCAATGCGGATTTCAGGGTCTCTGACAGGTCCTGGTTTTCGTGGTCGGGGAGGGCCAGCCGCCGCCACTTGAGATCTCCCAACTCCTCCTCGCTGGGGGCTGGGAGATCTTCGGTGCAGTTGAGGATGTGCGTCACGCCCAGCTTCCGCAGCACATGCAGGCAAAGGCTTGTTGCACCACCCACGAACCTCAGTCATCAATCACCCTGCCAGATCGTTCCTAGATCCCTAGCCCCACTACCCAGAAGCCGAATAAGCCGAGATCTGTGTGGATGCCTCCAACAATTTGTACAGAGTTTGCTCAACAATATCGAACCCCAAACAGTAGGATCCTTACAATAAGGGCCACTGCATAACGCACCCCTGGTTTTCTGAAACCTCCCAAACCCTCCACCCTACATTAAAACCAGTAACCCCTGAACCGACCGCCTGTCGAACCCTCAAGATCATAAGCAGTACCTATAGTCTCCATTGGAGTTCCTTTTTTGGTTATCCAATTTTATGGTTAGGACCCTATAACAGAGACTTTGGTTAACCAAAAAAAGGAACTACAATGGAGACTATAGGTATATTCCAGAACCCGCTTCATACACCACAAAACCTAAACCCCCTTGAGCCAGAAGCCCTGAACCTTATGCCATAAACCCTCAAACCCTTAAACCCATTGTTATAGGAACGCTTAAAGCACCCCAAACCGCGTAACTAGTACATGGTTGGGATGGTATTGGAATTGCAAATGTCTATTCCTTCTTGGGTTTTAAGTACCCGTCAAAAATGAAAATAGTTACTATGACAAAGATAAACCCTGAACCCTCAAAACCGTCTCCGAGTAGGGAGCCTGAACCTCAAACTACAACCTTCAGAAGGAACCCATATTATAGGAACCCTTCAATGACATCTAACCCACCCAGCGGCCCTGTAGTAGTTCCTTTTTGGGATTACATTATAGGGTTCTATATCTGAACCCCCAAAAAGGAACTACCTTGGGGCCTCTGGGCAACCCCCTCCAGCTGTCTGCGAGTAGCAGCGGGGCCTTGGGAGTGAGATCCGCAGGTCGAGAGACCGACCCGGCCATGTGCAGGACTTTGATGCGGCTAGTGAGCTGCCTCAGACGTACCTTTGGGTTTTGGGGGGGGTTTAAGAGGGCCTACTACAAGGGTTTATAGGTGCTTGCAGGGGTTGAGGGCTTAAGGTATAGGTTTATAGGAGAATGCGGTTTAATGGTTTATGGCTGTTGGGGGTTTAGGGAGTGTAGGATTTTGGTCCGCTCAAGTCTCACAGTGGTTTCGGCTTGCGGGATCTTGTGAGAAGTTATGAAGGTCATTATTGTCGTCATTAAATTATTGTGATTATAGGAGGGCTCTTCAGGTGGGCAGACCGAAAACTTCAAGAGAGGAACCACCTCAATGCAGGATCCTAAGCCACCGACGACACTCCAGAGGCGCGCTGCGCATGGTTTCGCGGTCTAGTTTGCAAGGTCTCCGGTTTGTGAAAACCCAAACTACAAACCCCTTCTGCGCGGACCCACCATACGTATCAGTTGCTTCACTGCTTGCAAACCCTACCTACAGTCTCCATTGTCGGTCTTTCTTGCGTTTTGACCGCGTTTATTTGAGATGCTACTGTACAAGGCAACCCAAACAAGAAACTATAACGCAGGCCCTACATCCTAACACCCTGAACACCTCAATGTCCAAGCTCTGACTTGCAAGATTCTCAACTGACATAGGTTGAACATACTATGATACAGGGGCTTGATAATCAAATTCGATGCTCTGCCCGAAATAAACGCCCTGAAGTGTCCCAGGAGCAAGAAGCTCGTAGGCATCCGCCACAGGATTCAGGACGCTCTCGCCCAGAAAACCACGAAAAGAGAAGGAAGCGCGCAGGTCTCGTCGAGCAGCCCACTCATCGACGGCCTTCGCGAGATTCTGGGTCTTCTCGCGCAGCAAATCCTCGACGATTTTCTCAAAGAGGTCCTAAACCCCAAGTCTTGGATTATATAAACCCTAAACACTGAAAACCAGTAGGGGCATAAGCAATTGCAATCCAAGATTTTGGGGTTTCGTGACAGTGTTGTGTTTTTCTTGGGCTCTAAGGGGTGCTCTTAATCATACACTTATCAATTCGTACCTCTGCATAAAAGGCGTGCAAAGAGTCAAAGAGCTCTTTAGGAGACGCCAGAATGAATTAACAAACCATACTCGTTTTCAGAACCCTACACAACCCTAGCAAAGCCTTTTGCGAAAGGTATCCAACGACAACAAAAACAACAAACTGTCGCCTTGTTCCAGGCCTTAAATCTTAAACCCTACTATATAACACTCACTAACCCAATGTGGCCCCTGTTCCACACCCTGAATCCTAAGCCCTGAACCCTTTATTGAAGTTCAGGGCCTAAACCCCAAACCCCTAAACCCTGAATACCTCCTAAACCCTGAAATAACCCGGCTCCTGCCACATTGCCAGCCGCTCCTTGAAAGCATCCGGCTTTGTGGCCTCTTGGCTGACCCCAGCCTCCACACAGGTTAGGATGTAAAACATAGAGGCCTTAATAATTCGAATAAGGTTTTGGAGCCCCTTATACGAAAAGTACAATACGGAACCGCAAAATTGTATTGGTAATTGTTTAGGCCCCTATATTATGGGTATGGGTTTAGGGCTTCTTGGGCGGTCTACTTGTTGTTCAGTCTTTTCCCACCTGCCGCGCACAGGGTTTGGAGTCCAGAAGTTACAGGGTTTACCGTTAGGGTCTGTATGCCTTGCGAGGTTTAGGACTAGAGGCGAAGATTTCGAGGAGCTTCCCGGGGAGCCCACAACCGGCTAATTCCGGAAGTAGGCCTTTTAACGGGGTGTTCGCCTGGTTGTGTTTGAAGTTTCAGGCATTTTGGTATGAGTTAGGATTTCGGGCACCCTTTGGGGATATAGACCGTCTCACAAACTATGTCCCCTTTAAGAGAGCCAGAAGTAGGGTCAAGAAGGGTCCCCTTTCCAGTTTGGGTGGAGATCTTGGGAGGTTCAATGTGAGAAGCTCCAGAGACGGCTAAGGATTCTTCGGGGCTCAGTGGGTTTAGGGTTATAGGGTTTAGGGTTATATGGTTTAGGGTGCCTCTTTATGGCAAAGATTGTTTCTGGCTTGGGTGTCGTCACTCCTAGACTGAAACACTCAGGGCCGAGGCAGTAGCAGTAGTCGTCTACGTCGTCGCCGCAAGCAGCGGCAGAAGCAGTAACCCAGGCCCGAAGCCTAAACCCGGCCACCACCCCATCCCCGACTCCGAACTCTGACCTCGCGTGACGAAGCCAGAAAAAAAAAAGCTACACTGCCCTACACTCTGCGCCCAAGGAGCTTAAGCTGGGGTCGACTAGGTGAGTTTGCACGCAGATCGATGAGGTCCGCTCGGAAATTCTCGATCCAGGAATGAACAACGTCTGTCATCCTTGGCGAGTCTTTCAGCATGCCGGTAGAGTTTATAGGGTTTAGGGTTTAGGGGGTTTCTTCACTGTCAAGCTGAGTCGCTTACGTTGGCGATTTTCAGAACCACCAAAATGAGAAAACTCGGCTACAGCATAAGCCCTACGCTTCAAACGCTAAACGTGACACCTTAAACGGTAAACCCTGAATCCTGACCTCCAAACCCCTACAGCGAAACGCACATAAGAAAAACATGGGATAGGGATATCCACAACAAAAACCCTGTATAATGAAGCCCAATCAGGTAGGGATATCATTATAAAATGCTTATGCTCACGTCCTTTTTGGGTCCCTAACCCTAACCCTGTCCCTCCAAGGACCTCATAGTTAGGGCCCTAGACCCCTTAAGGACCCCATAGTAAGGTCCCTGGAGGCACAGGGTAAACCCTAAGCCCTATTCATAAGCAGCGGAGCATTTCCAGGAGCCCCTGCTCCTGAACCGCCGCAGCTAAGGCGGCCTTTGCCCCCTCGTTAAACGCCTGGCTTTGGGGGTTTAGGGTCTTCTAGGGTTTGTTTTGGGGGTTTAGGGGCTTGGGGTTTCTTGTTTAGGGCCTTTAGGGCTTCTAGGGCATGGTTTAAGTGGCTTAGGACCCCCCAAGGGCCATTTAATTGAGCCACTATCGTCATTAACAGTTGGTATTCGAAGTATAATCGAGGGTTGTTGGGGGACTAGGTAAGCTTAGGGCCTGTAGTGTCCTGAATTAGGGCCGAGGGCTTAGCGCTCATTGGTATATGTTTTTGTTGGCTGCGGGCGTTTATAAAGTTCAGGGTTTACACTTACATAAGGGTTTTAATCGTTTGGGGTCCGGAGATTATACAGGCTTCTAGATTTAGAGAACTACCCATTAAGGGCTGAGACCTGCAGCCGAACGGCTACGGGTTCAGAAACTCTGCAACATTAACGTATGATTTCCTCGAAAAGAGATACAACACACTGAAAGACCCGATGTCCCTATATGTCATGTACACCCAACATAAATGTTACAGTGATACGCAAGTCCTACGTAGCCCAGGAAGTGTAATTAGCCACCAGGAGACCATATGGGTGGTTGTCAAAATTATGGTCCCTTTTTGGGTCCCTATTATAATACGGCACCTATTATTTAGGGTACCCAAAAAGGGACCCTAATTTTGACAACCACCCATATGAACAGAACCTTACACATATTTCACACAGCCTCAAGGAACCTCGCCGCCAGCGCTCCCTGAGTCCATAAACCTCTCACGCCATGCTTCCTAAACCTTATAAGACCACATAATCTTGAATCCTGGCCCTATGCCTCCAAGGACCTTATTATGGGATCCTTAAGGGGTCTAGGGCCCTAACTATGAGGTCCTTGGAGGGATAGGGTAATGCAGTTCTCCGTAAACCATGAAGGCCGTGTGTCACACACTCCTGAAGCCTAGATGCTACGTCCTTCAATCCAAATCGGTAAGCCCAAAAGCTAAACCCAGGGAGCCTAACTCATCGCCCAAACCACTGAACCACTACGCCACATCTCTACTCGCTAAACCCTGCGCCCCGAACTTGCTTCCCTATGAAACACTACACCCATGCTTCCAAATGCTTCTGCACCTGGGAGGGCCCAAACCCATAAGGGTAGTCCTCTAAATTAGGGTCTCTTTGTAGCCAAACTAGTACGGCCACTTTCTAAGAAGAACCCTCAACGGAACCCTAATTTAGAGAAATACCCATAAGACACACAGACTCCCAGAAACATCTTTGAGCCCAATAGCCTAACCTAAACCGAACCCCTATTAACTGAGCCTACAACTCTAAAGATGTCCCAAAAGCCGACGAGAACCTCCCAATGCAAACCCTAAATCCGTTAACCCTAAAAACACCGGGCCTTCACGCTGCTCATGGCCCCCGCTTGTTCCACGGCGGCCTTGCCGCCATGACGCTCCACCCAGGCATTCTCCTCGCCAGCAAAGGCGCGTAAGGCTTTTAGAAGGGGGCCACAAGCGTTTTTAGTGTTCCGAAGGGTCTTTTAAGGTTGTATACGGGCTTAAAAGGATTCTACTTGCCGGTCTCTGTCAGGATGCAGAACTTTACAAATCCTGCTAGCTCAGGCTCAGCCGCGGACCCTTGTGTACTACATATTGACCTTGAATCCCCAGCTTTGATTCCTCAAGGGTACAAAGTAATAGGTATTACTGGTATGGTTTGGAAAGTATCCCTTAGAAGGGGCCCCCACCCTGTAATAGTGGTACAATAGCAATATAATAGGGCCCTAATAGGGGCAGCTTCTAAAGTATCCCCATATAGGTACTTAGGACCCTTTGGGATCCCCACGCTCTGATTGTGTGAAAACCAGAGCAGAGCTTTGGAGTTTAGTTTGTCAGTGTCGTGTGTACCCAGAAGCCCCAAAGTAGTTCCTTTTTGGGATTACCTCATGGGATTCTACATATGAACCTGCAAGAGGAACTACTTTGGGGCCTTTGGGTAAGCATCCATCCATGCACCCATCCTTATATCCGCACGCGCATGCGCAAACACAAACACACGCATGCGCTTGATCTCATGTGTGCATTTGTCTGCATGTGCTTTCCTGTGTATACGCACATGCCTTTTCGGCGGTAGGCTGGAAATGGCTTGAATACTTGCAGGGTCGCTCTTTGCAGGAGTGACACTGAAGACCACGAGCACGGCACTCAACTCCCAAACTCTGAAAAATCTCCTCTGCAATAACACAAACAACTTCGACACATGCTGAAGAACACCCTAAACTCTAAACCCAAGAGTCGTTGGATGCCCAGTCGGCATTGACAGCTTCGGCAGCTGCAGTGTTGCAGCTGAAGGCCTCCATCAGCACCTCAAAGACTACAGCAACATAGCGGCCGTAATAAATTACAACAGCGTTTTGGTGCATAAAAAAAACAAGAAGCATAATAAGGAACCCCCCAGAATCGTAGAGGTTATTATTGAGGCCCCTAGTTCATGTGCCATGCTTCAGTCTTCACACACTCAGGAAATGAAAACAAAACGATACCTATGACGAACACTTACCACCATTCATGAGACGTGCCGGTATCACGACTTTTGCGGTTCCTCACCTTTGATTGAAAGAAAACAGAGCGTACGGCAGATACCAGCAACCGATTGCAGATATCATGGGATTGGGCACGCAGAATCTCACTCCCTTCAGGCTAACGCTTTGAAGAGGTTTGGTGCGAGGCAATTCTCCCAACCTGTAATAAGCCAAAGCCCTCCGCCAATCTGCGTCCCCGGAGGGTTATTCAGCTCCACTTTGCATGTTTAATCCTAATTACACTACACCGACAACAGATGATCTGGTTTTAAACCATTACATGCGAAAACACTCTTGCATATGTGTTTGGAAACCACAAACCCCGCAGCGCTTGACTGCAGTAGACCCTGCAGTACAATTGCCGGAATGCTGTCTACAAAGTTGCCTCCTTGATGTCAGTAAACAGGCGTCCGACCGCCCCACGTCCACGCCTAGCTACGGTACCCCAACCAACCAGCCCACGTTCGTGCGATTTGTGCGACAACTACCGCTCCGAATCTACTCACGGCCATACTTCTGCAGCCGCACCTGCTGCGCACTCGCCCGATCCAGCAAGACCAGCTCGAGAAGCCATGCGGCTTTTTGATCCATCTCCCGCACTAACCTTCGAAGCGGTATGATTTGGGCGGAGCATCATGTAACCGCACTCACGCTAAGCCGCAAACTCCGTAACAAGTGTACCCTAAACCCGGGCAGCCCTATGGAACCTTAGACCCTAACCTTACACCCTTTTCAGCACGGACTGAGATGCTGGCCTAACCTTACACCCTAAACCCTAAACACCCTTCTACACCTGGACTACGCATATGCCAGGAACCGGGCGCCGACTGTGCACCCTAAATCCTAAACTTCACTAAACGATCCAAGGATCAGTTTCGGTGGTCTTCGCGCCACCACCGCATCGATAGGAACACAGCGGCCCTCGCTCCAGAGGACGTTGCCAGGATTTCCGCGCCAGCCTAGGAAGTAGGGTAAACATAGTTGTAAAGGTACAGGGTCTCTACATGGTTTGGGGTAGCCATAGCTATGACCCATATTTAAGGGATTTAGAAGTAGGGTGACAGTAGTTAGTAAGTAGGGTACCCACATTATAAGTGAGGTAAGCATGATTATGACCCGTATTCTTGGACAGCTCAAGACGGTGGGGTTCACTGGGGGGGGTTTGGCCAGCAGCATATTCCACTCTGTGACGGCTTGCAAACAAGTCTGTGACGATGCCAAGTCCACGCTAAATGTTCAAAGTTCAATATGGGACAGAAAGCTCGGGTAGGAAGGTTGTTGGCTATCACCAGTTCTGCAGCACCACGGTTTCCAAGCGAGACTTTTGAAATCAAGAAATTCCATCTCTTCAAAGGCTCCTTGTCATCTGCAGATTCAATCCGCGCCTATACCTACAACTGTGATTGAATTGTCTACTCAAGGACAGAGAACGGAAACCAACTTGGAGGGTCGGTGTGATTCAAGTTCTGCGACTGAGGATTTGCGGCGGGTGTATTAAAACGCCTTGCCGCTGCGCAAAGCACGACATCTTGTCACGCGACGCCGCTTGACGTTTGTGAACGCCCTCGCGACCCTGGAAGGGCATTGTATCGCGTCCGCGCGCGTCCGATACATGCGTTTGCTTCTTGTAATGATCTGGAAGCCATGTGTATTGAAATCGTGGGGTTTCAATACATGTATCATTTTTGTCGGTTGCCGATACATCTGCCTCGGCAGTTGTATCGGCATTTTGGTGCGCCAATACAAATTGTACCGGCCGTGGTTCGGCTGCATTTTAGCCTGTGTCTGGAAGTCTGCACCTTGCATTCCATGCCAAGCCAGGTTCCATCATAGTGGCCAAGGCCGCATTGTAAATAAAGACACCCAGCAAGATCCCAGCTGCCCAACATTGATGTCGCCCCGTGCTCTGAGCACATCCACCAAGAACGGGCGAGTCAGGACAGATATGAGCGGCAAGAGAAACATGACTTTTACTTTCACCACACACTGGCTGCATGGACATATTCGTACACACAGTTATCGCACGCAGACCTATGCAAGAACTATCTGCACACCTGAACCTGTCGCCTTCATGCCGCTGCCCTGTACCCCCCCCTAGCCAACCCCCCCCGTTCTGAGCTATCCGATATTCAGGGACTGATAACGCCACTTCTAACTACCAATGAACAATGAACCTCCAATGCGTGCAGAGTCTCGAAGATATTTATGCACTGATGATCAAATCAAAACACGGACCCTCCATGGTTTAAGCCATGTACCTTGCCTGAAATCAAAGTCAAGACCCCCTACGCAGCATCGGGGGACCGCAAGCAAACCAAACAGGGGCTGATAGTTAGGGTCGCGTCAAGGGATTACGGTTCAGGGTTTTCAAGGCTTTTCAAGCTTGGGGCCCGTGTTTTTTCAGGCTCTAGCTGCTCTTAGCTCCTCATGACAGAACCTCGACCTAAAACAAAACCTGGGCCATGAACTAAACAGACTCCACCTCTAAAAACCCTGAACCCTAAATCCCGTAAGCTCTGCACAGACGAGCAGCCTAAGGAATGCAAAGGCAATCGATCAGCGTTTCCCAGCAGCAAGTCAAGGATAAACCTGGGAATCCGCGAATCACACGACTCTTCTTTACATGAGGGCTAATTGCCCCATTGGGCTCTACTACACACTGCGACTTCAGCTACTAGCTCCCTCGACTCTTCCAGTAAAGAGATGACGGCAAGGCCATCGGTTGTGGAGATGCCCACTCAACCCTAATCCACATTGAACTTAGAACCCTAGCAAAAATTGTTATTTTAGCTGTTTCTTAGGGATTATAATAACCAAAAATTAAAAAATATTTCTAAGTACCCCTAAGTAGTCCCTACACTCTATGCTGGCTCAGCATAGCAAGACCCTGAAACAATTTGCTTGGGTTTCGACTCACACACTCGCTCTAGAGCTTGCATGGCTTCAAGCAATAGGTCCGTTGAGATTTGCTTGGGCTTATGTAATATAGGGGCCTTACGTACTACTTAAAATTTTAATTAGCAACCCCCACAATAGTATAGGTAATTACTTAGGCCCCGGCCTATATTAGGGTCCTCTGGAAACCGAGCAACAAGCGGCCCAAGGCGTGGCAAGCTTTGGCCAGATTGGGCCCTTGGAAAGTCTCCACTTCGCTTTCCAGGTTTTGACCCGGAACAAACTGCAGGAGCAGCATCGACATCCTCGGCTTAGGGTTTAGCCCTAAACCCTAAACCGTGTTTAGGGTTTAGGGTTTATAGGGTTTAGGGTAAAGATCATCGGGCTCTTCGGTCTCGGGTTTGCGGGTTTAGGATTTGAGGGGTTTCTGAGATTTGCTGTCCTATGGCACCATGATGTCTGCTCTGGCTGTTTGCCCAGGCTTTGACCATACGAGTGGTGGCTGGCGACTTCCCGCAACAGCGGGCTCTGTAGATTGCGCAACCTGTCTGGTTGCGACCATCTGCCAAGTTTGCACTTGCGAAGAAAGCAACTCCTAAGGATCTTTTCTGAAAATTTGACGCGTTAAATACGTGAGTACACGGGTCTGAAACTTCAGCTAGTCCGGTTCGGAAAATCTTGAAGCTTCCGTGCTTGATCTGTTGCCGTACTATGGATCCCCCTTGGATCCCTTTGAACCCTTTAAATGAACCCCCAAAATAGTATTAGTATAGAAGGAGTCGGCAAGACAACTAGGATATCAGGCCAGGGTAACTAGGATACCGACTTGGAGAGATTATGAGCTATTCCTTCCAGCCTTTGCAACCAACATCCCTTGTTTTTTCTTTGAGAACTTCAAGGCCTATATCTCCCACTACAAGGCCTGTAGGACTGTGTGA